TTTGAGTATTTGAAAGAATTAGTTTAGAAGGGGAAATTGTTGAGGAAGTTGAAGCTTCAGTGGGAAGCTTTTGTTTAGAACCAGAAACGGCAATAAATTTTTGGAGGTAATTTTGGGCTTCAAGAGGAAGCTTATCAATATTGATTAAAGCTTTGGATGAACTTGAGTGTGAACCAGAATCATCAGAGCTTCCTTCATACTCACTTGAATGATCAGGGCTTCCTTGTTCATCATCAAATATTCTCTCCATGTTTTGATTTTGATTTTCTCTTTATCTCGCAATCTAGTGGTAGGGGGCATTATGACTGGAGATTGCAAGCCTGAGAGTTTTCCGCACTTCGTCCTCCCTGCAAAAATTCCCGAGTAAGGAAGTCTGGAAGAGAGTTTGAAGAACCATTTATAAATTGTATGTCAAAATCAAAAATGCTAAGGATGGCTTGCCATCGTGCAAATATTTGTTTCGAAGCAAGGTTTTGAACATCTTTTTCCAAAATGTATTTTGCTGATTGGCAATCAATGCGTAGTAAAAATTTTTGATTGAGTAAATCATGCTGAAATTTTGAGATGCATAAAACAATAGCAAGCAGTTCTTTTTTGACAGTTGAATAATTGATTTGGGTAGGGTTCCAATGCTTAGAAGTAAAGCGTACCAAAAACTCCTTATCATTTTGAATCTGCTTAAGGATTCCTCCATATCCTAGATCAGAGGCATCGGTTTCGACGATTTTAGGGAGAGAAGGATCACTTATGTGAAGGCACGGGAGACTCTGAACCTGCCTCTTAATTTGCTGAACTATTTTGGTATGCTGGTCACTCCAGGGAGGGGGACTCTTTTTCAATCTATCATGGAGAGGTTTACAAAGAAGATTGATGTTGGGATAAAAGTCAAGGACATAGTTTAAACTACCCAGGAACCGTTGTAATTGATTTTTGTCTAAAATTTGATCAGGAAATTTATCAGCAAATTGAAGAGATCTTTCGATTGGAACAATTGTTCCTTGACTAATGTAGTGACCCAAAAAACGTATCTTAGTTTGAAAAAGACAAAGTTTTGGTTTAGAAACAGCTAGACCGTTACGTCGAGTAACTTCAAGAAATAAATTGAGATGTTTGAAATGTTGGTCAATGGACGAAGAAAAAACCAGCACATCATCAATATAAACTATTATGAAATCAAAATAAGGAGAGTAGATTTGATTCATAATTCTTTGAAATTCTGAGGGAGCATTTTTTAAACCAAACGGCATGACGTTCCATTCATATTGGCCAAAGGGAACGATAAAAGCAGTTTTATAGCGGTCTGTTTCTTTGATTTGGATTTGCCAAAATCCGGATTTCATGTCAAATTTAGAAAATATTAGGAACTGTGAAAGTTTCTGGAGTAGATCCTTTTGGTTGGGGATAGGATACCTAATCCACTTCAGAGCCTTATTCAACGGTTTGTAGTTTATAACAAGACGAGGAACGCCACGTTCCTTTTCTGCATTATTAATGACATAGAAAGCAGAACAACTCCAAGGGGATTTGATAGATCTGATAAGGCCCTTTTTGAGCAATTCTTTAATTTCTTGTCGACAATGTTTTTCATGGTCTGAATTCATTTGGATAGGCCTAGCCTTGGTGGGAATGAGATTTTCTGTGAAATCTTTTTCGTAAGGAAGATCTACCTGATGTTGTTTTTGATGCCAAAAAGCATTGGGTGTATCAGCACAAATAGAGCTTTCAATGTGCTCTTTTAAAGAGTTTATTCGTTTTTGCAAAAGAGGTTGAGAAAGCTGTTGTAAGATTCGCTGAAAATGTATCTCATCATGCAAATAAGATATTTGATTAGTTTTACAACGAATTATATGGTGTATATATTTTATAGAAGAACGTCGTAAAACATTTAGGTTTCGAACTTTTGGTTTTTGGAGAAATGAGAATTCAACATTGTTTCCTAACACAACGGTGTTAATTCCTTGGTCGGTGACGGTAAAAGGTTTTAGAAGATTTAGAAAAGGTGTCCCTAAGATCACCTTTTGTTGCATATCACGTACTAGGACAAAAGGAGTTTTGAATTCAACATTTTGATGACAAATTAAAGCATTAGAAAGTTTATATTGTATTTGAAGAGGTTGAGAGTTAGCGGTAGATAGACGCTCGAGGGTCTTTTCATAGTACTTAGTTGGAATTAATCCTTCTTGGATGCAGTTCATGTCTGCTCCTGTATCAAGAAGGGCCACTGTGCTTAAAGTAAAATCAGAAGAAACCTGAATATTAATGATAACTTACCATTTTTGGGTAGTAATGGTAGATAAAAAACATAGAAAATCGTCATCAGTTAGCATTTCCTCTGTTTCTAAACTATTGGTTGCGTGAGGAGTTTCATCGAAAAAGTTTTCGGGGCTAGATGTTGATGGCTCTTCTAAAGGTTTGAGAGCTATTAAAGTTTGTAATATTTCATGATCACTATTTTGTAACTGTCGTAATTGTTGAATTTCTTTCTTAACAATATCCAATTCCTTTTGGAAGTCAGGAAGAGAAGGATTGTGGGAATCATTATTACTATGTCGAGAAAGGATATCTTTGACACTATACGTCGAACCTTGATGAAAGGGATTGGTAGGTGGAATAGTCACAGGAGGTTTCTCCATGTGTTCATGAAGCTTTTTGAAATATTTTTCTTTGAGATGAGGATTATCAATATTATTGATTAGATCTAAAATAAGCTCTTGATCTTTGGTTAAAACATTGATAGAAGATTCAGAACTTTCATCGAAGTCATCAAATTGTAAAGCCTGAAGATTCTCATCATCATCTGAAGAAGAAGAAGAAGAATCCTCATGAGAAGAGTAGTGTTGGAGAAAAAGATTATTGATTTTGTCATGAATCTCTTCATCAAGATTAAGCTCATTGAGCTTCTTTTTTATACGACAATATTTGGAAATATGACCTGTTTTTCCACAACGGAAACAAGTAATGTTTTTATTTTCATTGCTAGATCGTGGTCCCCTATCTGGGCGGGGATTCCTAGAGAAATGAGATTTTTGATTCGTGGTTTTAAAAGATCGGTAGGGACGATCACGATGTTTTTTATGAGGTTTGGTGCTACAATCCTCACAGTTAGATTTGGAAGAAATTTTTGAGTAAGATTCATCAAACTGAGCACAAAAAGATCCTAGTTCTTTTCGAGTTAGTTTTTGTTCGCGTTTGATCTGTTTTTGAAGTTTTAAATCATGGCAAATTTGTAATCCTTCCTTTTGTATAAAGCTAATAAGTTCTCCGTAAGTAAGTTGCTCATAAGGAATTTGACCATTAAAAGTGTCTTGGATTTTGTTTCGGATTTTATCTCCTAAGAGACGGGGTAAACCGGCTAAAAACTTTTGTGAGTACACTACGCTAAAGATGACTTCTTATTAGTTGATTGTCATAAATTAATTTATTTCACTCAAATCTCATTTAAAATAATTTATATTATGGAAAAAAAACCCCACCTAATTCACTCCTCCATTCTCTTATATAGTTATATATGTATAGTTCTTTTGGAACCTCATTTCTTTTTGGGTTAATACCCTAATTTGGCCCGAAGTTTAGCGTAAATGACAGTTCTGCCCTAAAATTTTCAAATAAGACATTTATAGTCTACTTTTGAATATATTAAACAGATTTGGCCCGAAACTTATGTTGACTGTTAATATTAACGGTCAAACATTTATTCTGTCAATGACTCAACATCTAGTGCCGAGGTGGCATCCACATCACTTATTAATTAAAAATTAAAAATTAAAAACAATTTAAATAAAATCCTTAAAAAACTACGTTCCTTATCTTCATCTTCTTCTCCTAAACTGAATTATGATTACTCTGATTCCTTCCTCTGTCGGACAACGAAACAAGTCCAAACCAAGAAGCAGATCGAAGAGCCTTCTTCTGGGTTCTTCTATAGAGAATCGCAGGGTGAATCTTTGCATTTTTAGACATTGGCGCTTGGGTTACTCCTTTCTTCCACCGGATCTGGGTTCATCGGATCTCGCCTTCCCCTCGCCACTAGCGGATCTGGGTTCATTGAAGACGGAACCCCAGGGGAAAGGGAAGGTAAAGTAAAAGAGAAAGGGGAGGTCGTGACGCTAGCTGGGATAGCATAACGGGGTTGTTGTGTGGTGTCGAACTCGCTAGGGGCCATGGCTGTGTTGGTGAGGCATCCTCCGGTTTCCGTCACCGACGATTAGAAGAAGTGAGGGTCGGTGAAGAAATGGATTCTCAGGCGGAGATGCCATTGCTCCGGCAAGATGTCAATTCAGGTCAAGGAGAAGATGTAGAAACCAAGAACTCTGACGACGTCCCATTTAGCTACGAATTCCAGAGTAATGATTAGTGCTATGGTGAAGAGGCAGAGGAATAATCACCTCAATAATAGCCTCCCGAAAAATCCTAATTTGTTCCCGAGTCGGGTCGTGAAGAATGATTGCAGCTCAGTCGCGGCTTTAGTTGATTGGCTAGAGCGACGGGAGGTTGAAATCCCTAATTCTGTACGGAGGATCTCGACGGAGACGACCAGGTTCATCATGCCGCGACCGCCGCCGCTCGTCCCAAGGTGAATCGGCGATGGAGTTTCGTTAAGTACTAGGGTTTGGATTTGGGGTTTTGGGGATTTTTCTTAATTTGTTAATTTTTTTATTTTAATTGAATTATAAAATTAAAATAATATTATTTAATGGCGTGGCATGCCACATCATCAGTTTTTTTGGTGAGTCACTAACGGAATAATGTTTGACCGTCAATATTAACGGTCAAAGAAATTTTGTGCCAAATTTGTTCAATAGTTTCAAAAGTATGTCATAAATGTCTTATTTGAAAAATGGGGCCAGAACTGTCACTCACACCAAACTTCGAGCCAAACTAAGGTATTAACCCTTTCTTTTTCTAACTACTCTCATCTCACTAGCTTTGAACAGCTAAAAGAGCATACGTAAAGCACAAAAGAGAACTATATATGCATGTTTTCATGCATCAGGTACAGGAAGGAGAAGGATGGATATCATATCACATGTCATATCCTCTTCATTTTACTTTTACTACGTACCTCACCACTTCTCTTTTGACCATAAAGCATAACCACTGCCATGTGCAGCACGCAGACTAGTTTCAAGCTGAAGCCAAATAAGAAAAGCTCTCTACTCGATCGATCATCTCTCCTTACTCTGCCTACAAAATGCTCGATCCCCACGCCAATCCCACAGCTAGCAGGTCGTACGTGACTCCTGACTTGAGAGAGTGAAACGGAAGGCGCGCGGAGTAAAGAAGAAGAAGAAGAAGAAGAAGAAGAAGAAGAAGAAGAAGAAGAAGAAGAAGAACAATGAAGCTGATGGTTATGGCGGGAGCAATAGTCGTCATCATATTGATCATCATGGCTGGAAGCGGTGAGAGCTCAGTCCTTGAGAAGGTCGGAAGCAGAAAAGGATGGATCCCAAACTTCAACTACACTCAATGGTCTACTCAACACCATTTCTACGTCGGCGATTGGCTTTGTGAGTTTCCTTCCTAGTACTAAACTACCAACGTTGCATTTTACCTTACACTACTCTTTCAATTTGGCTATCATTATGCTACACGTAAACATGAATTGATCTCAACAATAATGTATCTTGTTGGGCTTGGGGTTACATAATTTAGTGTTCGTGTTCGATGAGCGGTACTACAATGTGCTGGAGGTGAACAAGACGAGCTACGACGGGTGCGAGGAGAGAGGGTTCGCAAGGAACATAACGAAGGGAGGGAGGGACGTGGTGGAGCTCACCGAGGCGAGGCCCTATTACTTCATCAGCGGCGGCGGTTACTGTTGGGGAGGCATGAAAGTTGCTGTGAACGTCGAAGCACGGCCAGCTGTTTCACTGGCGCCAGCGCCGGCTCCTAGCAGCTCTCACGCTAACGATGCAGTTGCCTTACCAGCTAATTATTACCATGTTGCATGCGCTTCAATATGCTTCATGATCATTATCCTATTCCTATATATTGTTGTGTAGGTCTCCCCTTCTCTAACTTTTTCTTCCGAGTCATCAGATGGATTGTTGAAGTTGCGAGAAATTGAGAGTTATGGTTGATCCAACTATGTTATTATAGACTTATAGTATAAGTAGAGAAGCATGTATTCGTCAACATATATAATAGTTCTTCCATCCCAAGCTCGAGGGCTTGTTAATTAGGAAAAGTAGAAGATTGTGACAAAAAGGCATTACTTTGGCATAGTAATGCATATAATGTGAGTATATGAAGAAGTTAGTATTTGTGCTTTTGCTCTCTCTTTTTCCCCCTCCTCTTTCTTTTCCGCTTTTAGCTTGGGATGGAAGAACTATGCCAAAGTAAATTGTATTGATATATATCTATGGTAAGTACGGATACATTATTTTATTCTTTTTACTTTTTACCTCTTCTTTTGGATGACGTCTTTGTTGTTAATGAGTAGTGTGTACATTTATTCTTTTTTTTTATTATCATTTGCATGCTTTTCAGTGAATTTGCGTCTAGTATCAATTTATTATTTTATTTATATAGAAATTATCATCATCGATTCCACTTTAAATATCAACTAAACTAAACAGAGTCAGAAACACATAATTTGTGGTTTCTAAAAAAAAAATTCCTTATCGTTATTCAGAAATTTGGACATATTTTACCAAAATATTTTCTAAAAATTTGGGGGTAGTCTCAATTAAGACGAACAAGAAAAACTCTAAGCTTTACAGGATTTTACACATATTACCAAAGATGAAAGATGTAGGAAGATCATTTCTCCCTTTTTACTCGCACAAAGAAGCCCTGTCCTCTCCTCTACTATCGCCCCCGTTTGCTGATCACACTTATGAAAAATTCATATTAACCAAATTCATCTCTTCTAGCTAGCTTCTGCATCTCAAACATGGGTAGCCAGCCCGAATCTCCATTGTTGCCACAACACCATAAGAAACCCACGTCGTACGCCGCCGCCGGCGTCGTCTTCCCCAAACCCACCGATCCTCCGCCTCCGCCATCAACAACATCCCTGCCACCTTCGCCGCCGGTTGATAACGATGATTGTAACGACGTTAAACCAGAACCCGAGTTTGATTGTTCACCCCGCTGTCTCCGTGTGACCACCGTTCTCGCCGTACTCCTGCTCATCGGCATTCCCATCTATTACGTGATAGAAGACCAATTGGCACCCTACTCACCCAAAGCCGACGTCGTTTCAGCCTTCGTGTAAATAAAAAAATCCAACACCAGTAATGGGCCTGCCTTGGGCCGGTTAACAGCCCACTGGGCCTTCACTCTCCATCTCGACAACTCGCTCCCTTGCTGTCAGGCCGTGTACCCGTACCGAGTCGAGGCTTCCGTTTATCACCACGCCGACGGCGGTGAGGGCCCGGCCCGTGACCGGCACGTGCTGGCGTCGACTCATCAGTTTGCTGGGTTGAGCGTCGACCCGAAGGTGGACGATCTGACGTTTTTTATTCAGTTGGGAGCGGAAGGAGCGGACGTCGGGGAGAATGTGACGGCGGCCATTTATAGAGATCTGGCCGAATTGGAACAGAATCGGCTGCGGTTCAGAGCTGTGATTCTGGTTTGGGTGAGGATCGAACCGTACAACTTCCGAAGCCGGTATTATTTGGCTCGAATTAGTTGCGACCCGTTCTGGACCGGTTCGGCTAGTATTGCGGGCAAGTCACTCGATGATAACAAGAAATGCCAAGTCCACGTGTAAGTATACAAAAAAATTTATCGCAATTTTTATAGGTTTTCCACGCTTTGATTTTGCACAGGAAGCCAGGTTTGTCAATATATATATATGTAATGTTTTATTGTATGTTATGGTTGAGCAGGATTGAACAAAGCCATCCGAGTTTCTTGGACCAAAATCGAACAAGACTCAACACTACAACAATATAAATTACTAGCGGGAAGTGAAGCTCTGAGTTGCGCAAGTGTTGTTTTTAGTACTACGTCTGAACTTTTGTAAAAGTAAAGCAAATATGGAGATGAATGTTGGTTTTAGATTTGATCTTATAGTAAGGAGTTGAGGATCTTAGATGAATCATTTATTTAGAGGTTTGTTTGGCAAGCAAGTATTCTAAATGGATGTTGAGATTAGAGATGGCAATTAGGATCCAAATTCATGAATCCAACCCAATCCATCCATCAAATTGTTCACCTAATCCAATCCATTTAAATCCAATCATTTGATCCAAATCTAATTGGATTGGTGGATTCATGGATCAATCCATGGATCCAAATGATAAATTACGATTTGATACCTATATTTTCTATATTTTACATTTTGGTACCTAAAATTTATATTTTTATACGAAAAATATCATTGAAAAATTACATTTTGGTACCTAAAAATTTTCATTATGACATTTTAGTACCAAAACTTTTCAAATTTTACATTTTGATCCAAGCCTTGGATGTCATTTGGATTCATGAATCAATCCACCAATCCATTTGATCCAATCCATGAATCCAATCCATTTAATCCATGGATCCACCAATCTAATCCACGAATCCGATCCAATTGCCACCTCTATTCAGGATACATACTTTATTTTCTTTTTCATGTTTTGTACGAATGTTTGGTATTCAACCCCTCATTTAATAGAATGCATGATATATACGGACAAACTTTGGCTTAATCCAGAGATTTAGAGAAATTATAAATCAAAAATTGAACAACAATATCACATGAATTATTTCAGTCTCGCTTACAAAACGAAAAAAAATATTTTTTTTATTATGCTATACATACTTGTCCAAACAAAATTAATTAAATTCTGGACTATACATATTACATAATATACAAGAAAAGGCAAACAAACTATACATAGACAACTCTTTAGAAGCACAAATGCAGACGTCCATTATATATTAGTTTTCTTTAATGGCAATTGATGGTGGAATTAATGGAAACAGTCGAGAGGAATCAATTGCAGTTCATAATTTTGGTTCTATTTTAGATGCGACTAAAATTTTATGACTTATGTAGTCAGTATTATATGGTATTGTGACTCGTTCTAAATTATATTAGATCTTCCATTATTACAGGCAGATAGTGCCTGAAAGATGGGGAAAAAATGGCAATTAAGTCCAATTGTAGGTAAAATATATTAACTGGACGAAAGAGTAAAATCTGCAAAATCATATTACAATCGACTTACATATAATTAATGGTTTAGATGACACTTTTTTTTTTATCAAAATGTATTAAGTTAACTAAAGGAATGTAGTTAAGTAAAAGTAATAACTTTTTTTTTATCACAATGTGTAGTGTGTTGGATGTAAGGTTAAGTGTTAAGAGTATATTGCGTAGCCAAAAGCAAGAGATCGTTTGGAAAGAGATAATATGTCAAACAAAGAGTAAACTTAACTATACCCGAGAAAGAAGAGCTATTAGCACCGAATCTCCATTGTTGCCCCTACAATCTACATCACAATGCGAATTCGCTGCCCGCCACCGCCGTCGATCCCACAACCACCGATCCGCCGCCACCGTCCATGCCAGCTGTTGACTACTACTACAACAAGAGCCGAGATCCCACTTGATAATATTTCCATATACACTTCTGCTATGCTATATAGTATTGATGCTTTAATGTACAATTTAAAGTTGTACCATAATATTAAACTTATAAGTTTAGGTTGTACCATAAAGCAATTTGTACCATTATGTTATGGTACAACTTTACAACTTGAAGTTGTACCACCAAATAAAGGTACAAATTCAAGCTGTACCATAAAAGAATTTTTATAAAAAGTATAGATACAATGTGAAGTTGTATCATAACGTAAATGTACAATTTTAGGTTGTACCATAAAAGCAAAACCCTACAGCACCAATACTATATAGCATTGTAAAATTTCTCATACATAATACTATGTGTATCGTATCTCGTGTGAATTATTTGGTTGAACAGGACTTCACAAACCAAACCAATGTCTTCAGATTAGAAGCTCCAAGTTACATAACGGTTTTTTGTACTACATATTTTATCTTATTGTGAAATTTTGTAAGAAATGAAGCTATATACGGAAGAAGATTGATGTAATTAACGAGGCAGAATAGTTGTGTGGAAGAATTAGTGTTGCGTCTGAACAATTTGCTTAGTTGTGTTTGTTAAGCAGCACCTAACACACACATGACATTCTAAATTATCCTTCTTAATCAGTACACCCTTGGACAACTAGAATCTTAATAAACACATGACATGTGTATAGTGGCATTTATCGGCTTAGGGTTATGGTAGGGTATTTCTATTCCTCTCTTCCTCACTGAATTCTCTTATATATATAATAGCGGTGATCATTGATTGATAAAGGTGAATAAGAACACAATCGGAGAGCAAAAACTCGTCCTTGAATTTGTCTCAAATTTTGGGATATCACGTATATCGTGTATCGTTGTTCTATTTTCATTATGATCCTCATATATTTCGATAAATGTTAGGCTCTTGATTTGGTATAAGAGCCTTTGGTGATCGAGAGGTTTTTTTGCTCGAATTTCGATGACCCCAATTGTTATGCACTTGGTGTCTAATGTATGTTCATATTTCAAGCTCATAGGAGTACGTTTTCATTTGAGAAGGTGTGTCAGTAAATGCATGATATAAGATCGATAGTTGAATCTCTCCCAACAACTCGAATTCTATGTCCTTGGTTGTTGACAATACGAGTGGCATCCCGATTGTTGTCAACCCTATTCTTCATAACAGCACAAAGCATATGAAGCTGACATCCACTATGTGCGTGACTTGATCAATGAAATTGTTTTCGTGCTTCATTATTTGCCTATTGATGATGAAGGATAGCAACCCGGTGAACTATAATATTTTTTATATTAAAATTTGTATGCTTTATTCTTAATATGAAATAGGTTGCATACAATCAGCCTTGAGAAACCACCAAATCTTGGGGCCTGTCAACAAAAACATCATCTTCCTCCCACTTACAAAGTTTATTGGCCATGAAATGGATTCACTTTGTTATTATTACGGTCTGAAGAATCCATGTCACAATTGGAGAGATCTCTAATTTCGCGCACACGTTTTCTAACTCAATCTTCTCCACCTTCCTCGTATATGTATTTTTTCTAATTAGGTGCTATATTATGTTACCAAATGGTTTGATATAAAAGTAAAATACTGGGTACCAGATTTTAAATTATTACAATAAGTGTCACATCTCTTGTGAAAGTTAATATCTCAAAATATTATGCAAAATGTTCTTTTGTGTCGTGTTTTTTTTTAAATACAATATATTAGCCATAACTATTAAGTAGCGGATAATTATAGCCACAACTATCGAAATACAAATTATTATCCATAACTATAGTTGTGGGTCATGATTTGGCTAACAGCCCGTTACTGTTTTCAAATTTTTAACGTAGAAGGTCATGTCAGCATCGTAAAAAATATGATATGATGACTGCCACGTGGGAGCCAGCTCGGCATCGTAAAAGCTTAGTCATCATTACTAACAGAAGTGTTAACGAAAACTTAACGATTGGCTAATAATTTGTATTTCGATAGTTGTGGCTATAATTCCCCTCTACTTACTAGTTATGGCTAATATGTTGTATTTGCCTTTTTTTATGGTTTTGCAGATTCCCAGCTTATGTGACATTTTCTATAAAAATTTCTAAAATGCTATGTCATTAATTCGTTATGAAAATTTCACCAAGAAAAAAGAAATTGTTATGGAATGATGCGTTTCATTATTATTTCTACAAATTACTTACTGGGCTCGATCTATTTCCCCGATGATGTAGCTAGCCGTAAGTGCATTTCTCATGTTCTCCCTTTTGACTCGCACAACAAAACCCCCACCATAATCGCACCCGATTTGCCATTTATGATGTGCATAAACAAAATTACAAGTCAATAGTAAAGAGATCGAGTTTGATTATTATCTCTTCTAACTACCTACCTGAAAATGGCTACTTACTCATCATCGCCATCATCCCAACCAGAATCTCTATTAATTTTGCCCGAACACCATGCGAAGCCGCCGCTGGCCGTCGCCGGTGATAAAACCAGGCCCAACGATGGTGATTGTCCAGGCCCATACGGCTGTGCGGCCCTCATTCTCCTCACGATCCTCTTACCCGGTATTCCCGCTACTTCAAGGCTTGCAACCCTACGCCCCGAGAGCCGACGTCGTTTCCGCTTTCGTGTCAGTTCGCAATGGGACCACCAGCAGTAATCGGTTGACTGCCAACTGGGCAATCACTCTTCAGCTCGACTCCAGCCAAGCGTATCCACACCGAGCCGTGGCTTTGGTTTTTCACGCTGGCGGCGGCGACGATTCAGGCCGCAAGAGTGATATTGGTGCTGCTGGCGCCCAACGTCTACTCGCATCGACCCGGCGGTTCTCAGGGATAAAGATTTTGGACCGCCAGCGGGATGATGGAATCGTCACGTTTGCGATCCAGTTGAGGGCCGAAGAAGCAGACGTCGGGGAGCGTGTGGCGGCCTCCATCTCCAAGGATTTGATGGCCGGGAATCGGTTGCGGTTCAGAGTGTTGGTTCTTGTTTGGGTGCGGCTGGAAATGGAATTCAATGGTGACCGGTATTATCTAGCGCGGATTAGTTGCGATCCGTTCTGGATCGAGTCTTCGAGTATTGCAGGGAGAGAATCTAATCGGAAGGAAAAATGTCGTGTCCAAGTGTAAGTACAATATCATAACCCCACAAAATAGTGCCATGTATTATTATTAATCTTAATTTTTGAAAAAAAAAAAAAATTTGATCGTGTCAATTATTGTTGGTTGAGCAGGATATTACAAAGCAAGTCGAGTTTTTTGGAGGAAAGCTGGACACAACACATAGTATGACAAAATAATCTATCTAGCGCAAAGTAAAACTTCAAGTACGTAATCATAACCCCTACATTGTTGTTTTCCCAAGTTGATGAAGTTTTGTCTCTAAAAAACGTTGGTGAAGTTTCCTAAGAATGGAGTTATATATGGAATATTTGGTTGAGATCTTATGGTACAACGTCATGCATGTTCGATAAAATAATATATATGTTTTCATTTATCACCGTAATAATATTATATGTATTGATCTTATGGTTTAACGACATTTGTGATGGCGTAAAAATTGTTTGGTTGTGCAGGACTCTACAAAGCAAGCCAAGTTCCTTGGATGAAAAATTGAACAAACCCCAACACGACAGTATAAATCATGGGAAGTGAGGTCAATGATTGGGTTATTGGAAGGCTGTTGTTTTCTTACATCTTTTGTGAACTTCCTGTAAGAACGAAACTATATCTTTTTAGATGTAACTAGCCTTTTGTTTGAATCAACGGACTGCAAAATACGAGAAGTTTTTATTAGCAATGACAAAAGGATTCAACAATGGAGAACAAAACAACATCATCAGTTAATCTCCCTTTTTACTCGCAAAAACAAACCGCCCTATATGACCGCCAACATTTGCTATTTTTGTACAGAAAAATGAGAGTCAACCGCCTTCCTTCTATAGGTTTGTACTACTTTGTAGTTCGCCATATCTATAGTTAGGCTAATTTTTTAGCCGACTGTCTTGCTCATCAGGGTTACCTGTTAGACCCGGGATTTATCTCTTTCAGTGTTAGTAGCCTGGACTTTGACTGTTGGCGTTTGCATGACTCTATTAGCGGATTTGTTGTCCGCGAAATTAAATACTTTCATGTGTAAGTAAAACATTCAAGTTCACATTCGTTCATTCTGAAGTTGTACAGGAGCATAAAAATAGGTTAACTTTTTTTCCATGCATATTAATGTTGTATGTGTATCGGTTTATGGTGTTTAACATTATGCAATATTGCAATTGTGCTATTTGCTCGAGCAGGATTCGACAAAGCAAGCCTAGTTTCGAAGACGAGAGTTGAACAAGATTAAATATGAGAAAATAAATTAGCAGCCTGGTTTCAAAGACAATCCTTTTGTCAATCAAGTTTCAGTTATATAAGTTCGAAGTGCTATTTTGATACAGAGGTCATAAAGTACATGGGTTTTTTTGTTTGTTCTTTCGTTGGAGGATTCAAGAGAATTTTTCAATTTTATGACAAATCATTGTTTACTTTTTGTTTATTTATCATGTTTATTTGTCATGTCTGACGAATTTCTCATCGTGAAAAAAATGTGTGTTAATTAGTACAAACCAAATTGGTATTGGGCTTTACTTAAATGGTTGTATCAATGCTTAATAAGAATGAGTGAATGACTGTTTTAAGGACAGTTTTGTTTTTATTCCCTTACCACATTGTTGTTGGGCCGTTAGTCTGAATCCCCATATTTCCGATAAGAATACACCCATTCAAACGTACGGCAACGACAACTCGAACTTGGTTGCTCTGCTCTGTTCATAGATGTGATTGAGACAATTTGGATAGAATTCTACTTCTACTTTCCGCTCTCGGTGTATCACAGTTCCATTGCATTCTATCAAATTGATCCTTCGAATTCGGTTTGTTGCCTGAAGAGTAGTCCTTGGTAGGGATGGCAATTTCGACCTGACCCGTTTTACCCGACCTGTTTGACCTGTTTTGGGGCGGGTCTGACCCGCCCCGTAGGCGGGGCGGGGCGGGGCGGGCATGGGTAGTCTCATCGACCCGACCTGCCCTGACCCGCCCCATTCTCGACCCATTCTTGTCTAAATCACATGTAATCTTAGTCAAATTACTGAGAATTTTCCTTTTATTGCATCATATTTTAGCTATAATAAAGTTGTAAATTAGTAAAAATCTCAATTTCTCCAATAATTTAACTATAATTGTCATAATATTGTTTGTTTTCTTAGTCTTATAATAAAAATAACGAATATTTCTAATGTTTTTCATATAAATTGCATACCCATTGCGTCGACCTGCCCCGACCCGCGACCCGTGATCAATTACCCGACCTGGACCCGACCTGCCACGGGGCGGGTCTGAGTACCAAGAAACCCGCCCCGGACCTGCCTCATTGCCATTCCTAGTCCTTCGGATGGGAGATATCTAGTTTGGGGGAAGACAATGCAATTTGGTTGAGACTTGAGACATTCGGTCATAAGTTGTTTAACATATTTTAATTTTGTATGATCTCAATTCACGCTATGTTTTCTTTCCCTTAATTTATTTATGCGGTAAAACTAATGAACATCAAACTAGCCAAGCCAGAATACTTCATCCATATATCATGTCCAACTGTTAAAAATCGTTTGTTCTATCGATAATCGTCCAAACAAATAGACTAACTCACTATTATAACTGGCTTGATGATTATATCGATCTGATAGCTAATTATGTATAGTCTTACAACATCGGTATTTTACCGTAATATTTTTTAAGAAGACGTGAGGAAAAAAAATATCTCAACTTAAATTATTAAATACACCCAATTGCATACTCACATATTATTAAAATTACTTTAAAAAAAATGGTTGGTACTTGACTACTTATATATATAAAAAAAAAGCTGATATTTACTATGCCAACATCTCTTGCCACCATGGTCCATTAAACCGTACCGTACCGGCGGTTCAACCACAAAATACCAGTACCGGAGGCTAAATCGATAGACGGTATTTAACGATACTAACGGTTGAACTACGCTTAAACCACGATTTTGCCATAAAATACCCTACCGCTTACTTTTCCGGTACAGTTTCATGGACCATGCTTCGCACTAGGGTAATCAAAATCGTTTTTCTTCTTCTCTCTCCCAAGTATTCTCCCTCTCAAATATTTTGTGATTATTTTCACTGGGCTACTTCTCTCTTTATGTTTCATGTGAAAAGAAATATTATTCTAATAAGTCGAAAAATATACATTGGGAGTATCTAATAATTCCTCGCGGAGCTTTACTCGGAAAATTTTACATCAGTTACCGGAGATAGAGCTAGACAATAAAAAATAATAAAAATAATAAAAAAAGACGAAATACCATTTCTCCCTTTTTATATAACAGATCGCTTGCCCCATGCTTGCTAAATCACTCACTAAAAATTTCCTTATTAAGGATTAATCACAGGCAATCCGTTCCATCGATCTCTTCGAGCTTTTGCAATAGTCAGCTGCTAAAATGGGTACTCAGCCCGAATCTCCATTGTTGCCCCAACACCATCAGAAGAAATCCAAGTACGCCGACGCCGCCATCGTCTTTCCCACGGCCACGAATCCTCCTACGCCGCCAGCCGCCTCCGATGAGCTTAACGATAAGAAACCACAATCCAAACTTACTGAATGCTTAACTGTCTGTTGCTTTGCCGCCATTTTATTCTTCTTGTTTGGCGGTGTTATAACAACCGCTTTCATGACATACGGCCAGTTGGCACCCTACTCCCCCTCGGCCGACGTCGTTTCAGCCTTTGTGTCAGTCAACAACGACACTAATGGGCCCAAGACGGGCCGGCTAACTGCCAATTGGGCCTTCACTCTCAATCTCCGGAACGCGCTCTTTTGCGATTCCTGTCAGGGCGTGTATCCGTACCAAGTCGAGGCTTCCGTTTATTATCATGGCGGCGAGGACGGTGGCGGGCATATGCTCGCATCGACTCATCAGTTCTCCGGGTTAACCGTCGACCCGAGCCGGGACGATCCGACCTTTTTAATTGAATTGGGAGCGGAAGAAGCGGACGTCGGGGAGAGCGTGGTTGCGGCGATTTTCAAGGATGTAGCCGAATTGGAGCAGAATCGGTTGCGGTTCAGAGCTGTGGTTCTGGTGTGGGTGCGGGTCAAACCGAGCAACTTACGTAGCCGGTATTATTTGGCGCGGATTAGTTGCGATCCGTTTTGGACCGGATCTGCCGGTATCGCGGGCAAGTCTCTCGAAGATAGCAAGAAATGTCAAGTTCACGTGTAAGTACATAAAAAAATTAAATCAACCGCATGCAGACTTTGTATTAATCCTGAATATATATGTATTAATATATTGTATTATATTGATATTATGGTTTAACTGGTTGTGTGGGGTGGTTTATTTGGTGAGCAGGACTCGACAAAGCAAACCAAGCACGCTGGATGAAGATCGGACAAGACTGAGCACCACATAATAAATAAACTAAAGTGAAGCTTTCAGTCGTGCAAGTATTAGTTTTGATTCACGATCTTTTTTAAGGATAGAGCTTTATGGGAGATTAATTTTGATTTTAGATTTGATGCTATTGTATGGTTTTTAGACGGATCAGTAACTATTATGAGATTGAAAGGTTTGTATTTGACATATATCTATTATGTCTGTTGATTTCGAGCAGTGCTGGATCCGGGAATTACATCAAGGGTATTCAACGATGAAATAGATCACCAAGGATTGTCAAATAGTCTTGAGTTCAAATACTACGTACCATCGCAAAAATAAAACTTTACAAAGGAATTTTGTAAAAAAATGGAAACAAGGTTTGTCAATTGACCAACCTTGGTTAACCTATAGGTCCGCCACTGATTTCGAGAATGTTTTTTTTTTAATTTTCATTTATGGGATGAACCTTTCGTGAGTAGGACCTCGTGCGGTGTTAGAAAACATGACAATTATGTATTTTTGGATGATTTTTCACTCAGTCCCAAAGGTTTTTGACAACCCATTACAGTCATTATAAACCAAAAACTGAACCCTAGTGATTAAAAAAAAAAATATTGAATCCTATTGTTACATGAATATTTACACCCTCGCTCACAAAATCCGTGATGTTTTGTAAGGTTTTGCTCTGTCAAGTTTACTTTGTGTCTTTGTCAAACCAAATAAACAACCTCTTTGAAAGTCGTCTAGCCGTGATAAAACCAAAAGAGCTAGATTCTACTCATTCATCAAAATATTTATTGGTGTGCAACTGTGCATAAAACACTTTTTTTTTAACAATAGATAGCTTGTATTACCAAAACCAAAGGATAGCACTGTTTACATCACAAGAAAAACCAACGTTCAAAATCAAAACTTTCCACACTCGCAGGCAAACAAAGAAAGGGTCTTCCTGGCCACCTCATAAGCCACCCGATTGTTACTCCTGCCAACAAAAGCTATGTCAAAACTTTGAAAGCACCGCCGAATCCCACCAGTCTCCTCCAAGATCCGACCACCTCGCAAATCCCTAGTATCCGCCCTCTGAATCTTCTCAATGACAACCCACTACAAGAAAAAAGAGTTTCGGCTACCATTTTCTTGGCAACCATAGAAAAATGGTTGCATATAACCAGGTTTCAGCAACCATTCTTAAAATGGTTGTTGATAGCCAACTCTAATGCTACCATTAGGGAAATAGTCGATGATAGGTCAAAACTTCAGCAACCATTCGTAAAATGGTTGGCGATACACGACTCTCTAGCAACCATGAGGTATAAGGTTGCTAGTAAGCCAATACTTAACCAACCATTTAGAAAATGGTTGCTGATACCTAATTCTAATGCAACAATTACTAAAATGGTCGTTGATAGATCAAAACTTCAGCAACTATTCGTAAAATGGTTGTCGATACACAACTCTCTAGCAACCATGAGGTAAATGGTCGACGGTAAACCAATACTTCATCAACCATTCATAAAATGGTCGCTGATACCCAACTCTAATGCAACCATTAGTAAAATGGTCACTGATATATCAAAACTTTGGCAACCATTCATAAAATGGTAGCTGATACGTGACTCTCTAGCAACTATGAGGTAAATTTGGTTGACGGTAAACCAAAACTTTGGCAACCATTCATATAATGGTTGTTGATACCCAATATAGTGCAACGACTCGTAAAATGATCGTCGGTAGACCGAAACTTCAACAATCATTCGTTAAGTGGTCGCAGATACGGTGCTGTCTAAAAACCATGAGGTAAATGGTTGACAGTAAACCAATACTTCAGCAACCATTAGCAAAATGGTTGGTGATAGACCATAATTTCGGCAACTATTAAGAAAACGGTTGATGATATTCTAAAATGAGAAACCATAAACTAGAGGACATGGGTTCGAAACTAAGGACAGTATTTATTTTTGCATCTTGTTTCAAGAAGGAAGGTATAAAAACAACTTTTAGGGGTAAAAAACCCTAATCCCAATTCGCCTCCTTTCCCTGAACGGCCGCCACTTTGTCCCACTCTTGATTTTTTTCTTCTCCATTTCCATCGTCTCTGTAACGATTAACGAACGAAATAAACCAGATAGATCCATTTTCTTTGACTCGTTCTTCTTCCATATCGATTTGATTTCTTAGTTTCCTTTTGAAATGAAAATTTTCAATCCCTTACCATCCAGATCTAGTTTGTTGGCCTTCCTCTCCTTCGATGTTCGATCATCGAAAGAGATCAAATGCTTGTTCCTCCAAAAATAGTGATGTTGGTTTGGGAGTTTTTAGTCGTTTAGGGTTCCGATGGTGTCTTTGCTGTAGAGTTATGCGACTTCTAGTCTCTGGCGAGCAAGGAAATGGGCGACGGAGGCAAGAAGACGGCTGGAGACCAGCCTTATCCGCCTCTTCGTCGGCATCACAAACGTCGCTGACCTCCGGTGCTGAAGCCTAACCCGGCCTTTTTAATTTCCTCTGTATTTCATTTTCTTATTTTGGGATTCTTATGTTTTTTTTCTCTTTTTAGGATGTCTGATCTTAGGGAAAGGTGGAAGAAAAGCCACCGATGGCAAGTGAAACTATTCACGCCTGCGGCGAGGGATAACAGGGTCCGCGAGATCTACATAGGTGGGGATCTATTTTTTGTTTGTTTCAGTTTGAGGGTTTCTTAGATGGATTGAATTAATAGGAACCTTTTGTATGTGGGTTAATTGATTTTTGATTGTGGGTTGATAACAGTCTAGTCATCTTAGCTTGATTGCGGTGTTCTGGAAATCTCTGTTTTAAAATTTGGGTTTTGTGCTTGCTTGTTGTTGTGTTTTATGGTAAAATCGATCTAGGGGGAGTTTGCAACGGAAACTCAATTTTAATGCTCAACCTAATTTGGTGTGTATTAAGCTTTAATCGTTGTATCCTTTTCTCTTACTTTCGGGAAGAATATTATGCCTTGATTATATTTGGCATTTAATTTGTGATTTTAGTACTGTAATGTCTAATCCTATTTCGAACTTTAGTGACATCAAATTCCATGGATTGTTTTAGTTCATGTGATTGTATGGGGCTTGATAGTTATGATAAATCAGTTTAGGGTGATGTGTTGTGGGAACTGAGGTTGGTAATATTGGTTGCATTCAATTGTTGTGCTTGTTTGATTAATCGATATGAATTGTGTTTCTAACTTTCTATTGTGTTCTTCAAATGCAGTGTCAAAGTTATGGGTAGGAGAATTCTACGAGCTGGAGAATGCTTGGGCGAGAGAGGGACTATTGGAGTGATCCTAGTATTGAGAAATAAGAATGATACTTAAGCTTCTTCAGTATATAGACATAGAGCTACAAGTCCAGTGTTTGCATGTATAATGTATTTGCTCTACCATTGACATTTTAGTTGCATGGTTAATGTATTTGCTCTACCATTGACATTTTAGTTGCATGGTTATTCTGATTGAGAATCTTTAGTGAGTCCACAATTCAAATTACATAAATGTATAATCATATTTCTTAAATGTTCCAGACTTCTTTATCAATCGTAGCCGACCAACATATATTGTTTGAAACCATATACCAATGCCATTAGCAACCCAATTGGATAGTTGATGGAAACAATCTGCAACCATCATAAAGAGTTGCAGATGTTTTCTTTTAATCAACCATTATTAGTAGTTGGGTAAAAATCAATTGGCAACGATATTCAAATGGTTGTAGAAGTTTTTACCTTTAAGCAACCATTACTAGGGGCTGCCAAAAACTCATTTGGCAACCATATTTACAAAGTCGCTGGAGCAACATTTTGGCAACTATATATAATGGTCGCCCAAAAGATATTTTTAGCAACCATTGAACTAGATCGTCGCCTGGAGCTTTGGGCGACGGTCTTTTGCCGACCATCGTGGCGACCCTCATTTATGGTCGCTGAAATGTTTGGGCGACCATTTTTTTTATTTTCAGCAACCATTTTTTATGGTTGCAGAAAAGGTTTTTTCTTGTAGTGACCTTTGCATCACCATAAAACTTCACTTCAGTAAGACCCTTCAAAGAGCACCACTAAATCGCATCACGGAAGGCTATCAACTCAACTAAGAAGGGGGTCCACAAGTCCTGCATAAGAAAAACCTTTAACAAAACAAACACTACCCATCGCATCTCGAACCACCAATCCCCCTGCACCATGAGACCCCGGCACCACCGCACCATCCACAAAGCAAGAATACGGTAGTACATCCAGCATCAGGCCAGTCCGACCCCCACCATCAGTACAAATTATTAATACACCTCAAAAATTTCAATTTACCACTACAACATACCATAATTGTGAGTCCATGCAAAATGTCTATCGAGTTGAGATATAATATTTTATGAATTATTATGCTCAAATGATAGTATATATTTTTATAAGTTTTGAATCATCTTATGCTGTTATGCATATAGTTTGACATAAATTTCTAAATTTTAACCGAGCTTGCAACCTAGGTTGTTTCATAAAAGGCAGGGGTCATAATTTAGAAGTCCTTTAACAGTTTTTAGGAGAAGATTAATAAATATTACCGAGGAAATAGGTAGCCGTTATATACAAATCCCTTTTTACTCGGTCAAGAACTAGATTAGCCCACAATGGTTGCCGCCGCGCCGCACCTCCGCCCGCCATTTGCTTGCTATCATAATTCCCATCTCTATATATATTAAGGATTCAATAATTACCTTATACACGAAAAATATCAGATTTCGCCTCTTCTAGCTGCTAGGGCACGCTTCCAAAAATGGTTACCTTCTCATCATCATCCGACCCGCTATCTCCATTGTTGCCGCAAGCGAATTCGCCGTCCGCTGCCGTCGTTGATGCCATCACCACCACCGATCCGCCACCGCCACCCTTGCCGGCGGTGAAGCACGATGGACCCAAACCCATAGAGTTTGCGATATTTGCTCTCGTCTTTTTACTTTTTTTTGGCGGTATGTGGACTGTTATGTCCATTAACGCATCCAAACCCTACTCCCCCAGCGCCGACGTCGTTTCGGCATTCGTGTCTATTAAGAACAACATCAGTAATATTGGGCCCGCTGGTGTGGGCCGTTTACTGACAGCCAACTGGGCCGTCACTCTTCATCTCGACGACTCCATCTTCTGCTGTCGAGAGGCCCATCTGTACCAAGTCGAGGCTTCCGTTTTTCACTCCGCCGAAAACCGGCAATATTTGCTCGCTTCGACTCGGCGGTTCTACGGCTCGACCGCCGATCCGAAGACGGACGACGGCGCCGCACTCTCGATTTATCTGAGAGCTGAACAAGCGGACGTCGGAGAGCATGTGGTGGCTGCCATTTCTAGGGAAGTGGCGGCGGGTGGGGGAAATCGGTTGCGGTTCAAGCTTGTGGCTCTCGCTTGGGTATGGGTTGAAAATGATATCTAGCAGAACCGATATTATTTGGCCCAGATTAGTTGTGACCCATTCTGGGTCGTATCTCCCAGCATCACAGCCAGGAAGTACTGGGATACCAAGAAATGTCAAGTTCAAGTGTAAGTAAATTATTTTAAACCCCATAGATTAGGAATAGCGTGTGTTTGTGTATATAGATGTACCATGTTCTGAAATTAATTTGTAATCATGAGGATTATTTGGTTGAACAGGACCTCACAAAGAAAGCCAGCATTTTTAGATACAAGTTCGACAAGATTCAATCTGACGAACACAAATTAGGGCAAATTAAAGCTCCAGACCATTGTTTTGCTACTTCTTTATGTGAACTTGTGCAACAAATGGAGCCATTGGTTAAAGTTGATGTAATGAGGCAGACCAATACTATTTGAACTCGAGTTATGTATTAAACATTTTATTTTAAATTATTTTCGTTAACAAAATCAACTTTATTTAACAAACAGTCAAACACCCCATATCGAAAATTGACGAAGTGTTACTTAACACTTCAAAATACAAAATAAATTAACACGGAGTAAAGTTCTAAATTGTGCAATATATTGTTATATTTCTCATATATAGTTGTGAGATTTTTTTGACAAACAGAGATACACGAATATTGAAGTAATGGTGTCTAAAGTTGAGTAAAACTATATATGCATGTGATGTGATGGTTATGTGCTTCCCTCTCTTTGAGCCTTAAGTTATGTACCAAATGAACACCTTGCTTTCGTTAACAAATTATGTAACGCACCTTTTTATTTTCATCCTCAATCATATCAACACACTCTCTGAAGATCAACATTTTAACTAGGATGAAACATGTGTCTTTGTTAACATATGTAGCACTTCTCTCAATTTTCATTCTTAATTTACACACCATTTTCCAAAGTTTTAACTTTGAGAGTCTTCCTGCAAAAGTACAAAAATGAATTTAACGAAATTGGGTGGCCAGTAATCAGCAATGAAACAAAGGGTTAATTAAAGTCAGTGACTAGTAAGCAAAGAAAAAAAAATTGAGTGACAAATATGAGAATGAATTAAATAAACTAAGTGACTAAGATGAGCTCTCTGCCAATGCTTGTTGAGAAAATCAATCAATTGCCCCACTTTTATCCGGAAAAGAATAGATGATGATGTGAAATGGAAGTTTCGCCAAAGGAAATGTAACCTTTAGCTTCGTCGCCCACACTAAATCATTAATAAGATGATATAACAAGGTTTCTTAATAGACAATCTTCTTAATAACAAAGCCATGATCAGATGGTACTTAAATGGCCGATGACCAGTTAGTAAACTATCAGATTATTTGAGAATGTAAAAAGACAGAATAATTTACAAACACCAACTAATTAAATCTTATATTTAACTAATCAAGTAAAGAAATCCGAACTATACAAGATCGTTTCTCCACTTTTCACTCCCCACAAAAAGTCGTCTATGAATTGCCTTCGACGATTTCCAAATATAGTACAATTTGTTATCGCGCACTTGATTAAGAATTCAGAACCCTAGCTAATACAGAGTGCCCATATGAAAATGTGTTACTGCTCATCCTCATCATCATCCCAATCTCGATCTCCATTGTTGCCCCAACATCACAATGACAAGTCGACATCCGCAGTCGTCGATCCCACAACCACCAACGATTCGCCGCCACCACCGCCTTCTACGGTTCCCGAGGACAACCAACCGGCGGCGGTTGATCCGAACAACAAAATCGAATCCGAAGTTCACAGCTGTTTACCCCATTGGGAAGTCGTCTTGTTCCTGTTTCTCATTGGGCTCGTGTGTATTGGTGTTCCCATCATGGGTATGATATATGGGGAATTGCAACCCTACTCCCCCATAGCCGACGTCGTTTCGGCGTTCGGTCAGTTAGCAATAATACCAACAACAGCAATAGTAGTGGTCTTACTACCGGCAGTGCGGCGGGCCGGTTATTAACAGCCAACTGGGTCATTGTTCTCCATCTCGACAACAACGTCGGCGACTGTTGTCCATCGCTGCACCTCTACCGAATCCAGGCCTCACTTTTCCATGCCGACGACGGTCATCGTCCGCTCGCAACGACCCGGCGGTTCACCACACTGAATATCGACAACGCAGCGCATGACGGGAGCGACGTGACGTTTTCGATTCAATTAAGAGCGGAAGGAGGAGTTGACGTCGCGAAGCTGCATGTGGTGGATGCCATTTCCCAGGATTATGGGACGGAACCCACGTTGAGGTTCAAATCAGTTATTCTGGTTTGGGCACGACTCCAGCCGAATCTATTCCCTGCCCGGTACTATTTAGCTCGGATTAGTTGCAATCCGTTCTGGATCGGATCTTCTAATATTGGGATGAGCACAATCTCCTCAGATCACAAAAAATGTCACGTCCACGTGTAAGTAAAACATTTAATTCCACATTCCTTTCTTTTTGAACTAGCTAGTTTAGACCATTAAAAAAACTACATAATAGGGATGAGCGTCGGGTGGATTGACAGGGGTTTATGCTCTAATTAACTCCTCTACAATTAAATTATATAAGTGTATGAGTTTAAACGTGACCGCACACACCTAAATATATCATATATTAGGTGGAGTAATGCGATTTTACGACTGGGTTAAGACAATTTGCATAAATTTGAATATTATTTTTGAATTGTAAACCAACACAAATAAGTATACATATGATAAGATTATTTTGGACAAAATCACAAAAGAATTATTTGGATGAGAGTTTTCAATGAGATATTTCGTTCAAATCTTTAATTCATCGGATTTTGACCAAATAACATATTTGAGAAAATGAGAAATTTCTAGGGGTGAACAACGGGAAACGGTATTTGGGTATACCCATATGGCCATACCCTCCCATTTTTTGTGGTTACGGGTACCCAAATACCCATAATTTTTTACGAGATGATACTTGCGATCAGTAAGTTTTACAATAAGTACCCACGGATTATCAGTTAATATTCATTTAGACATTTCGGACACCCATACTACCAGCCCATTAGTGTGTGAATGAGCTCGAAGGCTTGAAGTTCTCTTATTGATTGTGTGTATTTAAAGTACATGAGAACAGAACGTGCAGCTGATTACATGGAACTGAAAAGAGTGGAAACAGGAGCTGCAACAACCTACTAACAGCTGCAACAACTACTAACAGTAGAAGAGAAATATGTGGGATATGTTACACGTCATCACGCCCCCGCAAGTTGAGGCTCCGTGAGGCGAAACTTGGAGCAGAACCGAGTGAAAGAGATGCGAGGCAGGGGTTTGGTAAGCACGTCAGCATGCTGATCTGCAGCAGGTAAGTAGTGAACATGAAGATGGCCTTTGCTGACTTGATCACGGACAAAATGGAATTCGATTTCCATATGCTTGGAACGGTTGTGGAACACCGGGTTATGGGCAAGAAAAGTCGCGCATAGATTGTCGCACCACAGAGCAGGAGCAGATGGAATGGACTGGCCGAGTTCGTGGAGAAGAGACCGTAGCCAGAGGACTTCAGAAGCAAGGGTAGCTAGAGCACGATACTCACATTCTGTAGAGGAGCGGGCTACTGATTTCTGTTTGCGGGTTGACCAGGATACCAAATTGGAACCACAGAACACGGCAAAGCCGGTGATAGATTTCCTGTCCTTGGGACAAGAAGCCCAGGACGCATCAGAGTATCCATGAATGTGCAGAGTGGAGGATTTAGAGAATACCAGACCTCGATGGATAGTGCCTTTGAGATATCGTAAAATGCGCTTTACTGCTGCCCAATGTGCATCAGTGGGATCCTGCTGAAATTGAGAGACTAGATTAACCGCGAAAGAGAGATCTGGCCTGGTGAAACTGAGATACTGTAGGCCGCCAACGATACTGCGGTACAAAGCCGGATCAGAAAACCGAGGTGAGGTAGCCGCTGCTGATTGTTGGAGAAGATCCACTGTAGCAGGAGTGGAAATAGGATTTGCCTGGGACATTTTGGCGCGCTCTAGAAGGTCCAGAATGAACTTGCGTTGGCTGAGGATTATACCTGTGGAAGATCGATGAACTTCAATGCCGAGGAAGTAAGAAAGTGGTCCGAGTTCGCGAAGTGCAAAATTGGCATGAAGAAACTCCATTAGCCGCCGAATTAGAGCTGAATCATTCCCCGTGATTACTATATCGTCAACATAGACGAGCATATATAGGCGAACTGTCCCAGACTTGTAGATAAATAGTGAGGGGTCGGTGCGGGAAACCGAGAAGCCAAAACGCGTGAGAGCAGCAGCAAGACAGTGAAACCACGTCCGGGGTGCCTGCCGAAGACCGTAGATTGATTTGCGGAGTCGACATACATGATTTGGTTTGTCCGGGTCAACAAAACCGGGAGGCTGCTGCATATAGACTGTTTCCTGTAACTCACCATGTAAAAAAGCATTAGCAATGTCAATCTGGTGTAGAGGCCACGCTTGAGAGACGGCAATGCCGAGTATGAGACGTAAGGTGGCGGGTTTGAGAACCAGGCTGTAAGTCTGGCCAAAATCCAGTCCTGGAACCTGTTGAAAGCCACGAGCAACCAGCCTGGCCCGTCGCCGATCAAGCGTACCATCAGGATGAACTTTGGTACGATAGACCCACTTGTTGGTGAGGATGTTACAGCCCAGAGGTGGGGGAACCAGGTCCCAAGTATGATTGCGAAGCTGCGCAGTGACCTCATCAGCCATAGCCGAGCGCCAGAGGGGATTTTTGAGGGCTTGGGCAACGGTAGAAGGTGTGTCATCAATTGGGAGATGGGAAATATATGTGCGAGGTTTAGGTTTGAGATTACCTGTTTTGATGCGGGTAACCATTGGATGAGAAGAGGAAGTAGGATTGGTGATGGGAATTGGGCGAGGGGATGTTGTGAATGGTGGATGAGAGGGAAGGGGACGTCGAGGTGGGAGGGGGGTCGACCGAGAATGAGAAGAAGGAAGGGATGAAGCAGGCGGTGACTGCTGGGTTTGGGGAGAAGATTCGACAGCAGGGGCTGGGCTTGGTGGGCTAGGGTGAGGGGAATGGGCTAAATTGAGTTGGTGGGCCGGATGTGGTGAATGGGCCGGAGAGGATTGGTGGGCTGAGGATGGTTAGGAGGCTGGGTTAGTAACAATTGGAGGGGAGGGATGGGCCGGGTCATTAGGTGGGGGAAGGAAAGGGCTAGTGATATTCGGTGGAGGGAGGGGCAGGTTGATGGGTATGGGTAAAGAGGAGGTAGGCGAGGGTATAGGGGTTGAGGCAGAGGGTAGCTCTGAAAATGGAAACCTTGATTCATCAAATAAAACATGACGGCTGATATAAATACGACCAGTAGCAATGTGTAGGCAACGGTAACCCTTGTGGAGTTTGCTATATCCCAGAAAGACACAGGGAAGAGATCGTGGGTCAAGCTTGGAGGAAGTATAAGGACGAAGCCATGGATAACATAAACAGCCAAAGACACGAAGAGAGTTAATGTCGGGCTGGCGCTTAAATAGAACATGAAAGGGAGTGTCATTGTGAAGAAGGGAAGTGGGCGTACGATTGATAAGATAACAAGCGGTGTCAAAGGCCAAAGGCCAATATTTTTGAGGAACGTGAGAGTGATGAAGAAGCGCCAGACCGTTATTGACAATATGACGATGTTTGCGCTCAGCGCAACCATTTTGTTCAGGTGTGTGGGGACAAGAGGAGCGATGAGTAATACCATGAGTGCGGAGGTAGGAGGATAGCGCCTGATACTCCCCGCCCCAGTCAGATTGGAAAGTTTTGATGGGAGTGGCAAAAAATTTCTCGACTAATTGGCGAAATTGGACGAAAACACTAAGTAATTGGGATTTATAGCGAATAAAATAAATCCAGGAAAATTTGCTATAGTGATCGTAGAAAAGAATGTAATAGGATTGATCGTCGTAAAAAAGAACAGGGGCAGGTCCCCAAACATCACTACAAACAAGTTCCAAAGGAGCAGAAGCTTGAAAAGTAGAAGGTGTAAAGGGAAGCTTATGAATCTTACTAACAGCACAACCATGACATAATGAAGATTTAGAGGGAACAAATTTTATTTGATGCTGGGAAAGAGCCTGCTTGACAACGCGTTCATTAGCATGGCCGAGGCGATGGTGCCATACATCCAATGTAGCGGCGCAAGCAAGCGGTGGAAGATGACGAAAAATCTGTAAAGGAAGAGAATAGAGACCATCCACGGCATAACCACGATAAAGCTCATTCATTGTGCGCCGGTCCTTAATGACAAAGAGAGAGTCAAAAAATTCGATAGAAACGGGATTAGCATGAGTAAGAGCACTAATGGATAACAAATTAATGGGAGCATCACGCACATGAAGAATATTAGGTAAGGAAATAGGAGTATGAGAAATAGTAGCTTGGGATGAACCATAATGAGAAATGGGAAGCGAATTACCGTTGCCAAATGTGACCTGATCAGTTCCGTTATATTCGGAGTGATGAGCAAGGTTGTCCAAATCAGATGTTAAATGGTGATTAGTGCCAGAATCAAGTAACCATTGGGTGGGATTGAGAGGCTGAACTGGGGAGGAGGCTATGTGAGCCTGCGGGCCAGAAAAGGAGGCAGATGGGCCATAAGGACTGGCTGGGCCGGCATGGCTGGTTGGGTAAGCAGAGGGAAGCGGGCCGGAGTAGCTGGGAGGGTAATAAGCGGCAGGCTGAGAGACGGGTGGGCTAGGGCAATTGGGCTTAATATGCCCCCGCCCACCACAGTTATGACACACAACACCCGTCGCATTGGGCCTGGGCCCAAGCACACCCCCTGTCTGATTTGGCCTGCTGAGAGATGGAGGAGGGTTATGATAGAACCGACCACGGGGCGAGCCACGCCCACGGCCACGGCTGCTCCACCCACGAAAAGTGCCGGTGTTGGTGTAGAAAGCAGTCGGCGCAGGTGAGTCAGACCGCATCGAGAAGCGATGGATTTGGCTTTCTTCGCTCAACAGGAGAGAGTGCAAATCTTCAAAGCGAATCGGCTCCAGGCGAGCCTCAATGTGACGGACAAATGGGCGATAATCCTCACCAAGCCCATCAAGTATCCAAGTGATAAAATCGTCATTGGGAACAGGGGAACCGAGAGCAGCCAGCTGATCAGCCTTCCCTTTGGCAGATTGAAGGTACGAGTGAATAGAAGCATCACCACGTTTGAGATTCTGCAGCTCCTTGACCAAGTGACGAACTTGGAGCTTAGATCCAGACACATATATTGTGGTCAAAGCCGACCAGGCATAAAAAGCAGTAGTCTTGTTAATGACAAGCGGAAGCACCGACTCCGAGAGAGAGAGATTGATCCATGTGAGCACGTACTGATCAAGAATATACCAGGTAGAAAACTGGGGATTGGGCCGACCATCAATTGATTCCGGAGGCGCTGGAGTGGAGCCATCAACGTGACCCATGAGCTGGTGACAACGAAGCAGAGGTGTGATCTGGGCATGCCAGAGCAGGTAATTGGTGGGGGTAAGTTTGATGGTCAATTGTGGATTTGCTGGGAGAGAAATGGAAGGCATAGGCGCAGAAGTAGAATCACCAGATGATGAAGTAGAGGAAATAGTTGCAGATTCAGTAGTCATTTGTGGCAGGGGAAGAAGAAGCAATAAAAGAAAAAAAAAGGGAAAAACTCGTTAGAGTGATGAATGCTCTGATACCATGAATGAGCTCAAAGGCTTGAAATTCTCTTATTGATTGTGTGTATTTAAAGTACATGAGAACAGAACGTGCAGCTGATTACATGGAACTGAAAAGAGTGGAAACAGGAGCTGCAACAACCTACTAACAGCTGCAACAACTACTAACAGTAGAAAAGAAATATGTGGGATATGTTACACGTCATCAGTGTGTCCTTCCATTCATGTCTGCTTCTTCATCCCGCTTTCTTCTCACAGCCTCTCTGCTTGGCACTCTGCTTTGAAGCCAAAATGCAATTAAGGTAATATAGGCATTTGTACATGAAATTATGACTGAAACATGAAAGATGATATGTGAAAGCCACTGCTTTACAATGCATAATACTTCATACTATTACGTATTGGAGATCATATTATTATAGGAATATATGTTTGAGATTACATGTGCATTTCCAGTTACATCCAAGTATAACAGAAGTGTCAATTAATACAAAATATTGTTTACTTTCATGTTATTATAAATATTACTCACTTTCTATGCTCCCGATATCAGGACCGGTCTTTGGTGTGTATGAGTTAGCCGCGGGTACCTGTTATTCGTTCCGTATGGGTAATGGATACCCCTTAACCCGTACAAATTTGGGACATGAGATGGAGTTTCCTCTTCAAATAGGATTGAATACTCGTTTCAAATGGGACGGGTACCTAGTTTCGTCCCGTTGCCCACCCCTGAAAATTTCAAGATTAGCGATTTAAAAAAACATCCAAATGTTTGTTTTTGAAAGATTTGCCCTCAATTATTTCGAAATTCCTCTTTGACTTCTTTCTTCTATCAATTTTGTTCCTTTACTTTTAATAAAATCCAAGCTTACCCTCACCAACACAAATCGAATCCTTTTTCATCTCATTCTTTCTCTCCTCCCGGCCCCTTCGCCGCTTCTTCATCTCCTTCTTCCTTTGTTCCGCCATCGTGACAATATCCTAATTTGTACAATCTCCAGATTCATCAGATCTGGAGATTTTTACGTTGAATTTGGGGATGACTTGTCCAATGCGAATCCCACTGTATATGTTGATTTTTCCCCCTGGGTAATACTGTGCTAATGTATTTTTATTTTACGGTTTAATACGGTGTCATCTTGTTATTTGGTTGAGCAGGATTCGACAAAACAAGCCGAGTTTCTCAGATGAAAGTCGAGCCAAAATTGAAGACGAGAAAATAAATTAGCCGTCACTATCATTTTTCCACATTTCTTAGGGAACTTATATCATATTTAACGGATTTCTTCCTGCAATGGAGATAAATATTGTGTAAGACGGTTAGTTCAATCCCAAAATTGAGCTTAAAACTATATTTCTTTTTATTTTCTGCATAATACTTATTTTCTGCATAATACTATGTATTAATGAGATTGGATTTAGCTGGACTGAACTCTTGGGCTTTTATTTGTTTTTGTTCGTTGCTGCCTACAGTACTGTTGGGCCGTTAATCTGAACCCCACATTGCCGATAAGAAAACACCCATTGAAACGAACATACGAAAACCTACACCAAAAAAAAAAAAAAAAAAAACACGAAAACCACCTTCCTCTCATGGCTTCTTCTTCTGCTCTCTCCTTCCTTCCATTAACTCAATCCCCCAAGCTCTCAGCTCGGAACCCACTTCCAAACTCCCATTCATGGCGCCCGCGTCCCCCTCGCCCTAACGCACCATCATCCTCCTATATATCCGCCTCTATCGGAGATGGGCCCAATGCCACGGAGCCCATAACCGTTGAAACTCTCCACCGGTTCTTTGAACTCAGCGTTGGCAAATGGCACGGCTCCTTCTACGTGAGAATTCTGGACGAGCTTTCAATTCCTTCTTCTTTGTTGCTTGCTCTGACTAGAGGGTTTATTTTTTGGCTGTTCGTTTCTTTGGGGTTTCCTTCCTCCAGCAATTCAATGCTCATGGGAAGTTGATGCAAAATGTGAGTACGCGGCTCTCTGCAAGTACCTATGGAGAAGATGATCTGATGAGCCTCATTCAAACGTATGTATGGACGGCAACTCGAACTTGCTTTTTTCTTACATTTACTCGAGTGGCTCTGCTCTGCTCGTCAATGTGATTGAGGCAACAATTTGGGTTGGAATCGTGCTTCTACTTTCCGCTCTTTGTGTCTAACTGTCCCGTTGCATTCTATCAAATTGATCCTTATTTGGTTGCCTGAAAAGTAATCCTTGGGAGAAATCTAGTTTGGGGGAAGGCACTGGGATTTGGTTGAGACATTCGGTCATAACTCATAAGTTGCTGTGTACATCTTTTTGATGTTATGTCAGAGTTTCAATTATGAATCTTGCCTCCAATTGATGGAGGCTATAAGGATAATCTTAAGTGTTCAAGCGTTTGTTTGCAACGTGAACTAAATAACTAAGCAGATCGCAGTTTCACCTGTTTGCTTCTCGTTGTTCATTCTCTGAGTTCTTTCTGCAACTGTGAATATAATCTAATTACTTCTCTCGTCATAATTTTAATCAGGCTATACATAAAACAACCTCCATTGTCAGTCTCAGACCCTAACGAAGATCCGGAATGGGCAGAATACAAGATCAAAGAGACCAATATGTTTACTGTCGACAGATATCAGCAGGTGAGTTCATTTTAGTTCTTCACAGCAAAATGCTACTGAATTAATGATCTGATAACCATGTGCTTGAAACATCTTATATTGTACTCTATACTATTGGTATTTCCTACTGAATGTCCATAATGATTAGTCTGCAGATCGGCTTTTTCCCCGACACAAGGGCTTTCGCCTTAAGGTACCAGACCGCTGGCATGCTGGAGACTGTTTTGAGGCAAGGTGTGTTGGGTGAAAATGACACAGGAGAAGAGTCTCCCAGGTGAAAGGATCTTGCTTTCACTTATATCTTGGTTTACTTGCCATGACAAACAAAATAAAGTACATGCTTTATCTAAGAGAAAACTGTTTTTCTATCTGTAGGAATCTTAAGCTTCCATCACGAAGGCCTTCTATAGTATGCGAGAATTGTTTATATTCGCAAGACATAGATAGTAGGCGGGCAAGAGCCTTTCACGTTATGAACCCTGGAGGTGACCTAGATATGCTTCTTGTGTTCCTGGAAGATAGAGGGGATGGGAATCATCCTCCTCCTTCACTTGACAATCTTGGTGTAAGTAAAAATCATTCAACTGTGAAATTCTCTCTATTGATCTAAGGATATATGGCCTTGGTTTTTTTCTTTTTCTGACAGTTACATTGATTCCAGGAGACTGCTGGTAGGGTTGAACCGTTTCTTGGTAGGTGGGAAGGTCATTCAATGACGAAGAGAAGTGGTGTTTATGGATCAACACTTACTGAAGCTGATTCTGTTTCTTTACTTGATATGAACGATAAGGGTCAGCTCATCCAGGTACGCCATCACTTTAAAGCACACATCCTCTTTCCAGGATTCCTTCTCATCCAGGAGGTTTGCATCATGCCATGAGAATTTAGATTATCCGATCGTTATGGGTAATTTAGGCTGCTTCATTTGCCTTGTTCACCAGCTGTTGTGAGCTGGCTAGTAGTTCAAGCTTGTAAGTACCTTACATACCTCTCTGAAAACTGTCATTAGGATATGACATCAAATTCTAGAGCAAACAACGTTGCGACCAAAGTGCATTGGAGTGGTACCCTGGTGGATAATCTGATCATATACGATGGAGGGTACCAGATAACTCTGTTGCCGGGAGGGATGTACATGGGATGCCCTTGCGATATAGCCAAGAGCGTTGCGGAATCCAAGTCGTTTCATCTGGAATTTTGTTGGCTTGAATCTCCTGGGAAGAGACAGAGACTGGTTAGAACTTATGACGTTGAAGGTTTGGCAGTATCATCCACATACTTCTCCGAGACTAAAGTTTAAGTCTTTGATTCTGGTTGTGTCGTGTTGGCAAGTAAAAGCTTGAGTACAGACGCCATGTAATAGTATATTGCAACACCGGAATTGACAAAATGAGGGTGGAATTCTGTTATTTGGGAGAGAATTAGCTGGAGTGCTTGAAATTAGTATTCTCGGCATAGTGAGGGAGCTGGAGAGCTTGAACTTAGATAAGTCAAATTTATGCAAATATCATTTCCATGTGTTCTCTGCTCTCTTGTACGAATTTGGGTACGCTGTATATGTGGTTTTTGTGTAAGCACGTAGTTTTGTTGTCGGACTAGACATCTCGTGATGACATGATCTATAACTGTTATATGTACGCGGTAGTAATTTGAACACTCATTTGCATTCAGTCATGTAAACATGGTAACTGAAGTGTCTCTTGTGGATGATCTTCATTGACATTCATTCATTAACAAAAAAAAGAGGCGAAACAGCTCACTGATCACTAGTTGTGAGATCTGTAAGAAGTTGTTTGTATTCTTATTTTAGTTCCTCTGTTTTGGTCGTTTGTGCTATTTTCTTGGTGGTAAGTAACTAGCATTTTTTTCTCAGTATAGAGGATTCGTTTACTAGTGATGATAAAAATTTGGGTTTCAGAGCTTGTGAAACATCTCAAATCTTAAATTATTTTTTCTTTCCCACAATGGAATAACAATGAAATAAACCCAATCACCATGAGTGGATTGGATGTTGTAAATTAACTTATGAATTTTATTCAAACCCCATTAGTGGATTCTAGGCTAACACATCATTTGATAATCACTTTTTAGTTAGAATTTCAGACAAAATGAATTCTCAGACGTTGGAATAGTTGGATTTTCGATTCATATTGTGATGATTTTGAAATTCGTCATTATTGAACACTCTCTAACATTTTTAACTGTAGTTATTTTATGATTTCAATTATTTAAACGATGACAACTACACATATTGAGAGACTATTTTCTTTTCCGCTCAAAATGGCGTGACATCGACCATTCATTTAACCTATTTCAACATTTCTCTACTACTGATCAATCTAACAGACAACATCATTATTGAGAATAATAAGTTTCTACACTTGCAATTTACAAACTGTTTTCCGACGAGAAAACTTGCGTAGAAATAAATGGACTTGCACCTTTGACTTCTTTGGACAACGATTTCTAAGACACGGCTCAAACCTCTTCAAACAAAGTTCGAACGAGGGTGTTTGATTGATGGTTTTTGGGAAAGAAACTAAATTAAATTACTCCTACTTCTATGGAGGTTCAGCGAGAGCTCCAACTACGACTAAGGTACATTGCAGATAAAAGGATAAAGTTTGACATTGGGTGTCAAATGGTCGGTTGTGGAACCCTTGTCTCTGTCGACCCCCCCCCCCCACCCCCCCTCCTATTTATAGCCACGAGGAGGTAACCGCCGTCGAAAACCGCTTCTTGGGTAACTGCTACAAAAAGACCTCTCCCTCTTCTCTGGAACGTGGCTGACGTGTCCCTTGAACGTGGGATGAGTAGTCGTTCCTCTCTCAACTGCCTAGGTAATTCTCTTGAAACCGTCGTGGGTCTTGGAGTGTAGCTTGTCTCACCTGGTCTTGCTCTGAATCTCGTGCCATGCTAGTCTTTTGATGAGCATGTGGTGTCTCGCAAAAGGGGCCGTGGTCCTTTTGCCTCATGGCCATGGACTTCTTACTCATGTCCATGGCCCTCTTGGGACTTAGTCACTAGTGACATAATGCTCCACCACCACACCCTTCTCATCCGTATCCATGCTCCCTCCTGGTAGGCGGCATGACCTTCCCAAACTTAATCGTTTATGGTCATGGACTTCTTAGTCATGTCTGTGGCACTTTCTGTGTCACGGCATATCGCCTTCTCAATCTTTACCATGTCCATGGCCCCCCTTCGAGAAGGGACATGACCTTCTCGATCTCTAGAGGGACATGACCCCCCTTCTTGAAGCTGCATGTCCTCTCCAAACTTAGAATATTTTTGTCATGCTTCTCGCGTGGCATGTACCTCTTCCAGACTTAGTGGCTTGGACTTAAAATCAATATTCATTGGGCCCAACTTAAACAACATTAATTGTTATAATGAGTATGACCTTATAACTCATTAATTATCTTGTAACTCACCAATATAGTACAAGACAAATTTTACGACGTAAACACAAACCTGTTTTTTCTTAAATAATTCATCCATTTCATGTTCAACACTTGGTCGATAGCCAAACGACTCCCAACTCCGAAGGAGTATTTTGTGCACGTGACAGTTGGAGCATATGGAAGAAAATGACATTTTGTAGGTGACGTGGCCCATGGGAAACTACTGGATTAGGTTGGGTGGGATATTTTATTTTATTTATTGTCTTATGACAAGTTGAGGGTTTTGTTCTTGATTGCTAATTGGCTACCGACAAATACACCCCACCATATCATCAATTTCTTTCATCATAAATATGGGTGACAAATAAACAATTTATCAAAAGATATTTAAGGTTTTTTTTTGCTTTTTTTCTCTAAAAAAAGCGATTAAATAACATCTAACCTTTATATATCGACTATTTGGGAATTTCAAATTTGTTATAATCAAAATATAGCTATATTCCAAGGAGTAACAAAGCTAAGATAGAAGTATTTTTAGATAATGATTAAACCTAGAAAAACTATACAATCAATCAAGAAATTACTTATCTATATACATTCGCTAATCTGACTTGTAAAAGATTAACGATACAACTTCTAGTCTCAACCACAATAACAATGTGCTTAACCCTTAATTCCCAGACGGTCTTGATATCATGAACAACTTCACCCAACTCTTCATAAGTAATGGAACTCCTAATTTCAATGAAAAAAGTTCGAAAGAAGAAAATATTATTCTTTTTTATAACTACGTGCAAGACATAAAGCAAATGATGACTTATTTATATTTAAATCCAACCTTATAAATGGTGATTTTTGAAATAAACATTTTCCCCCTAATAAACGTCAATTTCCATGCCTCAATTATTTTAGTAATCAATTAGAGAAGACAAAACAAAGCAATAAACCGCTTTAAAAAAAAGTGTAATTGTAAAAATAAGTAACAAAAAAAAAACTAATAAATAATAATTCAAAAATCAATTCCCGTCTTCCTCTTCTTCTTCAACAGCGAGATATTAATTAATTATATATATATTAAAAAAAAACTAAACTTTGCGAGTTGCAGATTGAATAGTCAACACCCAGCAAGGAAAAAGCTTCCCTTTTCCCTCCTCTGAATCTCCATTTCTGAGAGAAAAGCAAACGACGATTACGCTGTCGGAACAACTCTAACTCTAAGCAAACGACTTGAGATCGGAGCAGAGAGTTAATCAGTTGGTGGGTTATATAGCTCTATTCTGGCGGAGTTTGATGGCAGAGAAACGAGACTCTTCCGCATCGACGACGGCTTTGCCTCGGCCTACAACCATCACCCTTCCTCCTAGGCCGTCGATGGATACTTTCTTCTCCGGCGGGCTGAGCCCGGGGCCCATGACTTTGGTCTCAAGTTTCTTCAACGACAGTTACCAGGGTGGTGGAGAAGATTGCCGGTCCTTCTCCCAGCTTCTCGCGGGAGCTATGGCTTCTCCGCTTGCTAGGCCTCCCTTTTACCCTGACTTTTCTCCCCAAAACCCTCCTTCCACAGCCGCCGGCGGTGGCTTGTCTTCTACACAAGATGCTGCTGCTGCTGCGGCTGGAAGTGGTGGGTTTGGGTTCAAGCAGAGCAGGCCTATGAATTTAATGGTTCCTCGGTCTCCCCTATTTACGGTTCCACCTGGGTTGAGCCCTTCTGGGTTGCTTAATTCGCCTGGGTTCTTCCCTCAGGTAATTTTTCTGGTATTCTTCTCTGGCTGGTTTTGTAGGTTGGTAGTTAATTGGGATGATTAGTTAGCTGTTCCTCTTGTTAGGTTTAGATTGTTGAGATAACGCTTGAAATAGGGTGAGTTTATCTAAAGCTTGTATCTTTGAGTTTCACAAATGAAGAATTTGGCCACCAGTTTAGACTGCTAATGGAAACTGGAGTTGTGTCCCTCATTTGTTTGGAGCAATTGTGCTCGATTGTAGGTAGATATACTTCGTGCCTCCAAAACTTAGGAAATGTATGGTCTTTCTGTTTAACCATTAAGTAACGATGTTTCCTTCTGTCATTTTCTCCTATGTTTTCTTCGATCTTGTTGTGATTTCATGTTTCAAGTTGAGGAGTTAGAAGTTGCTCATTGCCTTAGCATGTTCTGATGCATATATAACTATATCATTTGTTTGCACAATTTGGCTTAAGATGAAATATCTTCTATCCATCATGTATTACTGGGAATAGACGGATGAGATATTTCATTATGTTGATTTCTTGTGGCTAATGTTTGTACTTGGAATATGCAGACTTGCAGACATGTGAGAACAGAAACAATGTTTGTTACATGTGAAATTAGGACTTGATTGTATCATTTAATATCTTGAACTTTCTCAGAACGTGATATGCAGAACATTCGTGGACACGAAAACTCGTTTCGAGGTGTTTATATATGTTCCTCTATGTGTATGCAGAGTCCCTTTGGGATGTCACACCAACAAGCTTTGGCACAGGTGACAGCACAAGCTGCACTTGCTGCTCAATCTCAGCATATGCACATTCAAGCCCAATATCAACCTTATTCAGGGACTGCTCCATTGGAAGTAGCGCCAATGCAACCATCTTATACTGCTGCTGCTAAGGATTCGCAGTGGCAGATGCCACCCACAACTTCTAACCCTCAAGCTACTGTGGTGGAGCCATCTTCTGAGGTTTCTCATTCGGATAGGAAATCGCAGACAACGCCTCCTCCTCCTCCTCCTCCTGCTGCTGCTGCTGCTGCTGATAAACCTGGTGATGATGGCTATAATTGGAGAAAATATGGGCACAAGCCAATTAAGGGCAGTGAATTTCCAAGGAGCTACTACAAATGCACACACCCGAGCTGCCCTGTCAAGAAGAAAGTAGAGCGTTCCCGAGAAGGCCAGATAACTGAAATCATCTATAAAGGCCAACATAACCATGAGCTTCCTCAAACGAATAAGCGTGGCAGGGGCGACAACAGTGTTCAAAATGTGACCATCAGTTCGCAGGCTAAAAGTGAACCTGTTACACAAGCTCAGCTTGGTTATACTAATAAACTTGATCAAAGAGCACCGCCTTATTCAGGTGATGGTAGGGATAAGGAATCCAGTCAAATGAACTTTGCAGACCAACCTGAACCTAGTGGCCGTGGGGAACCTGCTGGCGATCCAATTGCAGCTGAACAAGATTGTGCTGATGATGCACCTAATCCAAAGAGAAGGTAACTTTTTAGGCTAAGAGGTCATTTGGATGTTGGAATCTTAAAATGAGGGATGAATGGTGAAATATTGTAATTTAGACGGATGGAATTCAATTCATGATAGATTTTGAAAATGCTGTTCGGATGGACTACTTGAGCAAAGAAATTGTAAAATATGGGTAAAAAATTACTAAATTGATGGTACTGACCAATCTTACCTTCCATTGAGAGATTCGGGAGGAGAGATTCTCCAATTCCATCAAGTTGTGATCAGCCTTTTTAGACATGCAAATGAATTTACGATTTCCTTCAGTTGATGGAATTCAAAGCTAATTTTATCACTAAATTCCCTCATCCAACTGACGGCTTAAAGATTTCTGCATAGCGTACTCCTTATGTCATATGGCTACTTTTTCGTGCATTAAGAAGTTTCTCATGGTGTAACTACTCAGGCAAATGGATGCGGGAACATCCGAGGTAGCTTTATCTCACAAAACAGTGACAGAGGCAAAAATCATTGTTCAGACAAGAAGTGAAGTTGATCTTTTAGATGATGGCTTCAGGTGGCGCAAGTATGGCCAGAAAGTTGTGAAAGGGAACCCTCATCCTAGGTATTTTTCTTATCATCATGCTTCATATATATGGGACATGTAGCAATCCTGTGTGTTCCTACTAGTGACTTTTGCGAATTCAGTCTTATGTTGCTATGGGAATGCTTAAAGCTGGTTAAGGTTTTCATTATTTTCAGTTCCGAGTTTCTTTGTTTTGTTAAGCTACTGTAGAAAAGTCGCAGTCAGATGATAATGTCACTATCCTTCAGTTAATTGCTTGATTAACATGACAGGACATTTTCCCCGAAGGTTTTGAAATCTACTGGTTAGAACCAGGATGCTCATATGATTTGCAGGAGGATAGTCCGTCAATTACTTTTCGGTTGAGAAATATCATCCAGTCCTTACATGACCATTGACCAGTGATCCTCTTAAGCATATATGACAAAATGGTCTCTGTAATCCGAGAACCTCAGATGCTGATGCAAGAGATAAATTGTTTGTGAAACAGGAGCTACTACAAATGCACGAGCACAGGATGCAATGTTCGTAAGCATGTGGAGAGAGCTGCAGCCGACCCCAAGGCCGTTATAACTACGTACGAGGGGAAGCACAATCACGATGTCCCTGCAGGAAGAAACAGTGGTGCTAATACAGCTGCACAATCGAGGCTTCAAAGCACGGCGGTTTCTCAACCGCAGCAGCAGGCTGCACCCGTTGAAGGTGTGAATTTTGTGAACAACAATAATGAGGAGCAAAGACCAGTGCTTCTTAGGCTCAAAGAAGAGGAAGTTGCCGTTTAAGGTGAGGGCAAGACTTGTGCCCTATACACAGTGCAGAAAGAACACGTATGTGCAGAACTTCATGGATTATTTCAAAACTTAGTCAAACATTTTGTGCTCTTTGCTTTGCTTTGCTTTGCTTATACTCTTTTTTGATTTCCACTTCCCTGTATGTAAAAGGTGTGCTTATTATATTGCTTCTCATTTTATGTATTGTCCCCTGCAAATATGTACGGTGTATGATCTCTGTATAGAACATGACAATACGCTTGGCAAAACCTAAAAAGGAAAGACAACTGGTTCATTGAATTTGCAAGTTGCAACTACTTGATTGAGTGAAATGGTGAGTTTTTTTTTGTTGTTGTTGCTTTCTTACATAACATTGTATTATTGAGTTGGTTCCAGATGGAGCGAACAAATTTATAGAGCAAGAAAAGTAATTATGGCACTGGTATTTATGTGGTTCAATATTACAATGTGTGCTAGTTGCGTCAAGAGTAAACCTTTCTCTTAGACCTTAGTCATTAACGAAATGAGGCGAAACCAGTCCAAACTAGAAAGCAAAATTGCAGAAGCCTATAACCCATTTTGGACTGGAGGTATTGCCCCTAAACCAGAGATCCAATGCTATCAGCCGAAGGGATGATATCGTTGTTTGCCGAAGGAATCATTTGGAGATTGTCAGTACATGCATGGAGAACATCGTCGAAATGGGAGACTAACTAAGACGACCGTTTTTCAGATCCTCCCAAGGTAGTGGCCAAACAAATAAAGAAAGGAGAGAAGGGAGAAACTAAAACACTACCAAATACCAATGGAGAGGGAAGAGAAGCCTCAACCATTTTAGCCTATAAAAGCATTATGCTTTCGTTTGCCTGCGGAGATGCTAGCACCAATCTTGAACCTGACAAAGTGGTGAGATCATCATTTCATCGCTCATAATGGGGCATTTCTTTAACTAACTGCACACATCCTGCAGCTGAATTCCTTGTGCTACTACTAATCGTTACAGTAACTGCAGACATCAGTCCCGGCGCCGCTCGATCGAGGCAACACCATTTGTCATGTTATACTCCAACAGGGACTCCAACCCATAAAATTCTGGGACTCCAACAAGTGACTTTCGGCCAATCACATTGTCAATCAGATCCATCGCATTTAGTCAAATAGGTCAACCACAATATTGGTCACGTCAACCAGAGTGGTCAGGCCACATGAGTCATGACCAATTAGGGAGATCACTTCTGCTATTGGTTTGATTGAATTGGTGAGTTCTTTTGCTTTCTTTCATAACATTTGTACTATTGAGTTGGTTTCCAAATGGAGCGACGTACATTACAATTAAAGTATGTAAAGCGTATAGAGTGATAGTTATTTTTTCGTTATCAATACAAAAAGCATTACATAAATATTTTATAATATGATTAAAACTAAAAAAGGGAAGGACAAATTCATCAGTCTGTTCACTTGGGTTGTGATTCCCTACCCTTAATTTCATAGTAAACTCATTATTATTTGCGTAACACCGATTTATAACATTATTTATTATTTTTTTTTTTTCATAACAAGTTATCCCCTATATTGAATTCCACGTATTACGAAAAAATTTTGTAGCAATGTTTTGTAAATTTTCTAAGATTTTGTAAGGCGAGCTATTTTTTACATAACATTTTAATCAAATGTGATCTTTTATATTACTTGAGTTTATTATTAGACAACACATTATGATATACTTACATAACATTGTTCTATAAGAGATAAGTACATTACAAATACACCATGGAAGCTTATGGAGGGAGACATTATTCTTTAGTTATCAATTAAAAAAATATTACATAAGTCTTTTTAAAACTTTACGTAAAACTAACTTGATTTTATTATTAAATCACACATTAAGAAAGATTTTTATTATTAGAGCTAAATTTACATAATAATTATATAACAACGTTATAATATAGTTATCATCACAAATACATTGCATAAAACTTACTAATATTTATTTTTTATGTATTACTTGAATAAACTTATGACTTAATTTATTCTTGTGTATCCAGATACTACATTAAACTTATGGAGATATTTTATCCAATTTATTTGAATTATTTTATTTTGACTAAATCATTAAATAAGTGAATACGATTTTAAATATAAAGAGTTTTTTGTCGCTGCGAAGCACGGGCCAACAAGCTAGTTTGATCTTAAACCCCATTACTCTAAACTCCTCCTCGGCTACAACACCTTTTCTTCCTCAATCGCCTTGAAAAAGCTCTCTCTCTATATATCAGCTGCAATATTCTTCTCCTCTCCCACCATAACAAAAGAATGGCATCTCTGCTCCTCAAATCTCATCTGCTCCCTCTTCTCCCTTTTCGTCATCCTCATTCTCATCACGGCAGGGTTGTTGCACTTGTTGGTCATGATGATCAACATTTTTAAGTTAGCTCAGCAGTAGCATACAGGGACCCCATCCAGCCTATCATGGTCGGGATCAAGAACCTCATAAACATGATGTCCCTGGATGAAAAGATCGGCCAAATGACATATCATATAAAAGAATAAATTAAAGACAAATCGATCAAAAGAGAAGAATATTGCAATTGATCTATCGAGAGAAAGGGCTTTTCAAAGCGACCGAGGAAGAAAAGGCGTTGTAGCCGAGAGGAGTTTAGAGGAAAAGGACTGAAAAAGTGAGATGACATTCAAGACCAAAGGGGTGGATGTCTGGTAGCCCTTAAATAAGTGTTACTTTTCTTACAATTTTGCTAGTTTCAGAATACAAACTAGTTTCAATGTGGATTTCATTTATATTACAAGCTTTGAACTGGAATTTTTTGTGAAAGGCTAACATCCGAGAGATAATGAGCAGCGACCGACGACCGATCAGATCTGACAATGCACCTAAATGCAGCATAGTGAGGATAGAGAGGAACAAAATTGTCCCCACAAAGCATGTTACATCCATGTCCTTCATGTTCAAATCTTGTTTGATGAAATTAGATATGAGACTCATGGAGATATATGTAATAAAGAAATTGAGGAAGAATTATTTCTTTCTCAAATTATCATATACAATTTATGCACAATACATAGGCATGTTACAAAATTTGATGTTCACATTTGCAACTAATAAGGATGAATTCAAAGTTCGACAACTGTTATTTAAGAACCTAGACAAACTATCGGGTCGTTAGTTTTATGGATTCAAAAAATGAGAATATTGGTAAAACTTGGGTTTTTTCAAAACAATGATATATGATGGATATGGTGGCGTTATGGATTTGAACAAGTCTATTGTTTACTTGTTGGATTTGAATATGATTATGAATTTTGCTTGATTAGATTTGTGGATATGCAAAGTCTATTGTTTACTTGTTGGATTTGAATATGATTATGAATTTTGCTTGATTAGATTTGTGGATATGAAACAAAAATTACCTTGTTACCCTTATCTAACTATATTCTATTATAATCCAAAATATTCCATAAAAAACAAATTCATTACATACAAATAAGTTATTTTTTACCACTACTTTTTGAACTAATAATTCAACTACAAATATAGGAATGTATCACAGTTTGGCACTATAATTTATACTAACTCCTATGTGACTCCTAATCAACTCTAACCCCGTGTGACTCCCATGTATCACAACTCAACTACAAATATAAGAAAATTTTCAGCATGTTAGCAAACTGACACTGAGTAATCAATATATATTAGTCTGAGAGATATTAATATTAGTTTGCTTTGGGTTATAAATCTTCATTCCGACAATTGTAGTAGATATAAATATTAGTATGAATCATGTCCTCATAATGCATGCGTTTAGAAGGTCTCAAATCTGGGGTTTTCATCGGTTGAATCATGTCCTTCAGAAACATACAGAACGAAATTCGTCACTCGATCTGTCGATTTCACACATATCACAAAGGTGCTTTTTGTTCAATTTATCATCCACGAAGTATAAAGGATGATTGCTCCCCTGTCCCCCCCCCCCCCCCCCCCCCCCCCAAAAAAAATACACGGAGCAAAAAATCTATTTCAATAAATTCTATTATACATTTATAAGGGGGCAGATTGGGTCAATAATGCATAATTTGTTTCCATTAAAATTAATCTACTATATCTCTTTCTTTTAAAATTATTTTTTATTTTTTATTATTATAAAATAATCAGATTAATCTTGCTTTTCAAAATGACTACCAGTTCATATATTTAGAATGTAATAAGACGTTAATCAAAGCATATCTTATCACTGTTTATGAAGGTGTCCAAGAGCAAATATGTATGAGTTTGGTCCATGGATAGTATCGTACTTATGTGGATTGTCTAGTCCCGACAATCTGTAATTTACGTGTGTGATTGTTCAAAGTGGACAATATTATACTAAATTATTAATGTGAATTGTCTGATCTCAAGCATGTATACATCAATATGCGATCTAAAACAAAAAAGAAAGAAACCCAATTCATTCAATTTGCATCTACAAGATTGATGACGTGTTGAGTTTTTCTCAGTGTTTCATAACGAATGGATGTATAATTTATGTGAACGAGCTCATCGTACATTCTCACTCTTTTGTGCATATATAACTTGTTATATTTGTTATCCATATTGTATCATAATCATGATTCAGGAAACCGTACCAGACGTCATATCGAATTCCTTTTTGGTAGGGTATTTTGTGGTACGACCGTGGTTCAATCGTTTCGTACCGGTAAATATTGTTTTTGTAATAATAAAATATTTTTTTAAAAACCATATCGGCAAAATTAAAGTATCGTTCGGAATAATACCGGAATAAAACCGAAATATACCGAAATAAAAAAACGAAAAAATAGGACTTATTGTCTTATCCCCATACCTCCAACTCGCTCCTCCTATTTGTTTATTACTTTCTTTCCTTTGATCTTTCTGTCCCACACTCCTCTTTCTCTTTCTCTCTCTCCCACCTCTCTTCTCTTGATTATTTTCCTTTATCTCTCTCCTTCTCCCCGATCTCATCATCGGTCTCTTTCGTTATCCTCCTCTTCTTAAATGACGGCGATCGTGAGAAGAGCGGCGATCTCGGCCGGGACTCAGGAGGAGAGGGAGCTTGGATAACTGATCTGCTCGAGCTGAACGATGGTGGAGTGGAGAGGAGGCAGGTCGAGAATTGAGATTGAATTGAACGGATTAGGGTTTTGCTCCTCTCCGGATTTAATTTTCTCCCATTTGCGTTTGGTTAAAATCTGAAACCACAGCGTTTGACTTGCTACCATAGAACTGTCGGTTTGTTCAATATCGGACGAAATTCGGATTGAACCCTTTATACCGAAAAATAGGTCGATACGCTTTTTCTTCCACAGATTGCATGTTGTTTCGTTTTTTGTCCAGTTCTCGGTTGAACTGCTTGAACCGACCGGTACGATCCGGTTTCCTGGACCATGATCATAACAACTTGATCAATCTTTCAATCGCACCCCAATTAATTAAAAAAAGTTCAAATTTACACGAAATTTATTAGCTTAGTTTGGCCCTATTGTAGCTTTTGCAGAGGCAGCTTCTGGATGGAACTTTTAGATAAGTACTTTTCAAAAAAAGCAGTTGAGTGTTTTGCTCTAAAACTATTAGAAGTGCTTTTTAATATGTGAGGTTGTGTAAAATGACTATAAAGGACTTATAATATAAAATATGAATAAAAATTCTAAACAATAAAAGGTAGTCAAAATGAATCTTGTTAGATTTCTTTTATATTAAATAATATGATTTTATAATTTATTTTATTTTTAAAAGGATATAAATGAAGGAAAATTATATTTTCTGAAATAAAATTAAAATATGATAAGTATAATATTGTATTTTCAAAATAGTTTTTCGCAGCTTTTATGTTATACAAAAGCGCTTTTTGACTTTTCAAAAACCGAGCTTTTAATAGTGTTTGGTCCTACTTTAGCTTTTAAAGCCGAAAAACACTTTTAAAAGTCAGGCCAAACATAGGGAATAACAATTTCCTTGTATCTTAAGCCTTTGTAGAAATTGCTAGCTCCATACAGCTTAAGAATTTCATCTACATGTTCATTTTATAAGAATACATTTAAATGGATGGATTAACTGTAAGTTGTAAGCTACACCAACATATTACACAAATTCCAACAATTACAGATTTAAAATTTTATGATTAGAGTCTAGTTTTTAAACTTGAGTATATTGTAATGTCTAAAATTATGGGTGCATCAGTTATATGTTGTTACTATTTTAGAGAGGAGGTCATTTCAAAAAGCTTTCAACAAATCATGCTATAGGTCTAATACTTGAGGCATTAAAACGATCCAATGCAATTAACATTCCAACCATTTTAACTAACTTTTAAAAGTGTATCAACGAAAAATTAACACCGCAAATTTAAGAACACTAGATCCAACATTGTGAATTAACATTAAGACGTACTGGTACTAACCCGGTTTAGCTAACCAGATTAACAAAGAGGGGACAGCAGGAAGTTTGATGGCACTAGAAACGACATTAGTCCTTCGTCCTCTTTTAAAATGGCTTCTAAGCCAAGGAAAAGCGCCATGTCAGATGACCGACGGCGACATCTCTTCTTCTCTTCCCACCAGAAAAAGAAGAGAATCTACAACGGCAAACTCTATTGACGACTCAGAACTCCCCTGACCCTACTCCCGCCCGACCTCAAATTCACAGCTACCCGAAAAAACCCCACCCTAAAAGAAAATTACCTTACAGAGATAGGTTAATTGCATGGTTGGTCACTGAGATTATAAAAAAAGTTGTGTCGTTAATGACACAAGGGTCGATTTAATTGTGTATAGGTTTATATTGGGTTGGGTAATGGGTTGAATTGAGATTTTGATGATGTGGCGGGTTTTGATGACGTGGCGGGTTGGGTATAATTTTTTTTTTAAAAGGCTAATTGGACGATTCTGTTAGCCACGTCAACAAAAAACTGACGCCGTTAGCGGAAGCTAACGGAGAGTGACTAAATTTGGATTATTTTATTAATTATAGTGACCATTAATGAATTTAAACATTTCGAGTTACCAAACATAATCCGTTTTTGTAATCTTAGTGACCAACCATGCAATTAACCCTTAGAGAGATAGAGGTAGCAAAAGAGGAAAAGAAAAAGCGGGAAAAGAAAACAAGTCTGATTGACCGTCTGTCTAATTGTTTCTTTCCCACCAAAATCAACCCCTCACTTTCCCCTGCTTTTCTCTTCCCCTGCTTTTTTTGGACAAAGCCATTACCAATTGGTTCAGATGCAGCGAAGAAGAAGGAGGAGATTCAACAAACCCAAGAACCCAAATTTCCATCTCCCCATATTATTTTATTTCCTGCTCCCCCGAATTTAGTCAGGAAGCCCCCGAGTCTGTCTTCCCTCCGTTAATCCCCAATCGTGGGTCGGGTCTCCCACCCTTCCCCTCGATTCGGGTTTAATGGGCTGCGTCAACTCCAAAAGGGTCGTTTCCTCCGCCGCTGGCGGCGAATCCCCTGTTCTCAATTACCCTTCCGCCTCCACAAATGTCATCCACGATCGCCTCTCCTACATCGACCCCAGCTCCATAGCATCCTCCAGAAACCCTTCCGGCATCCTCGTTCCTTCCATCGTCGAGCAGAAACAGAGGAGCGGCAAAATCAGGAGTATCGGCGATCTCGTTGAGGCGAAGGAGGAAGGGGAGGATGGGGAAGGGGAGAAGGGTAAGAGGGTTGATCGGAAGAAGCAGCTGCAGAAAGTTGGGGAGATTCAGGCTGAGATCAATTACCTGATCGATACTGCGGTTGATAATGTGGAGAAGAAGGCCAAGAGGAAGAAGTTGGAGCGGAGGTCATCGATTGGGGAAATTGGGGAGATTAGCGTTAAACGCGATGTTCTTCAGCCGCAACCGTCAAGACGGCTTGTTGGAGCAGAGCAGATCGCCGCTGGTTGGCCATCTTGGCTGAGCTCTGCCGCCGGTGAAGCCATTAACGGTTGGGTCCCTCTTCAGGCCGATGCTTTTGAGAAATTAGAAAAGGTATGAACTTTTTTTTTTCCTCCCTTCCAATCAAACATCAATTTTTACAAATCAAGAACCGATTGTGCCATAACGATGAATGCACAATTTTCAGATTGGGCAAGGAACGTACAGCAGCGTATTCAAAGCACGAGAAGTGGAGACGGGAAGAATGGTGGCCCTGAAGAAGGTCCGATTCGACAACTACCAACCGGAGAGCATCAGATTCATGGCCCGAGAAATCCTGATCCTCCGCCGGCTCGACCACCCGAACATCATCAAGCTCGACGGCATCATCACCTCCCGCCTCTCCAGCTCCATCTACCTCGTCTTCGAGTACATGGAACACGACCTCGCCGGCCTGTCCTCTTCCCCTGAAATCAACCTCACCGAGCCCCAAATCAAGTGCTACATGAAACAACTCCTCCGCGCAGTCGAGCACTGCCACCTTCGCGGCGTGATGCACAGAGACATCAAGATGTCCAACATCCTCGTCAACAACAACGGCATCCTCAAGCTCGCCGATTTCGGCCTGGCCAACGTTCTCGCCGCTTCCGGCGGGAAGCAACGGCTCACCAGCCGCGTTGTCACGCTCTGGTACCGATTACTAACTAATAATTTTACAAAAAAACCTATCAACCTTACCCACTCAACCACCAATGTATTGGTAATGGATGAAATGGATTTGAACGTTATGGCTACGAATTAAGAAAAATGTTAGTTATATTCATGGACTGGCTAAGAAATTTATCACGTTAATATGACTCACGCTGATCATATTCCGATAGGTACCGTCCGCCGGAGCTTTTGCTGGGGTCCACCAGCTACAACGTATCGGTGGATTTGTGGAGCGTGGGGTGTGTGTTTGCCGAGCTTTTGACTAGCAAGCCATTGCTAAAGGGGAGGACGGAGGTGGAACAACTGCATAAAATCTTTAAACTTTGTGGGTCGCCTCCGGACGAGTTCTGGAAGCAATATCATTATCTACCAAATGCCACTATGTTTAGACCGCAACATCCATATGAGAGCTCATTGAGGGAGAGGTGTAAGGATTTCCCGCCTGCAGCAGTGGATTTGTTGGAGTGCTTGATCTCTATTGATCCTGAGAAGCGTGGTTCTGCTTCCTCTGCACTCATGTCTAGGGTACTAATTATCGTATACATTGTTGTGGTTTGGTTCAATTCAGTTTGATTGATTTTGGTTGTCTTGTTATGCAGTTCATTAACTCGGAACCATATGCATGTGATCCATCGGCCTTGCCAAAATACCCACCTAACAAGGAAATGGATGCCAAGTTTAGGGAGGACAGAAGAAGGTAAGAGCTATTTTCGACCTCGAGTTGGGACAAATTTCAATCCACATAACGCACTAAAAATGGGTCTAGATCCAATTTAATTATCGTTTAGTTACTAAATCACAAGGTTGGGAGGTTGGAGCTGCGGGGAGGATGGGGAGGAAGGAGACTGGAAAATTCGAGGATCTGGTTGTAGAACTATCTGGCTAAAGAATGGATATGAGGTTGGGTAAATTCAAAGGTCACTACATTTCTAGACTTCCAGATTCTCCAAAGTAAACAGACGCATTGGAGAATGTGGAATGGGGAGGTCTCAGAGACCATGACATATCGCCATCATAGACTAAAATTAACAGTCTGGGCGGTCTCAATAAAGTTACTCAATCCCACTATAGACCACAATCTGATGGTTAGGGGGCATCTGAAAAATAAATGTTCGATACTTTCTCGATGTCTCCAGCAGACAGGGCATCGGTTAGAACAGTTAACTCCACGAGATTGAAGGGCTACTAAAGGGTCTACTAAACCTATAAGGGGGCCTAATTAATCAGAGCTCTCCAATTCCTCGAAAAACAAAGAAAAAAACAGAAAATAAAAGAAGGGCTACTAAACCTAGAAGAGGCCTAATTAATCAGAACTTGTCTCCCTAATGACGTGACCCTAATAAACAGTAACCCTAAAACCTTCTTTTTTAAGTTTATAAAATATTCTTTCTTTTCCCCTTTGTGCAGGAAGAAGAGTAGTTTGAAGCCACGAGAATTAGTACTAAAGAGGCCAAAAGCAACTCATCACAGGGGAGGCAGCCTCAGCAAGTTCATCCTGAAAGAGGAAGTGACGGAGAACAACAACCAGCCATCCTTTACCAAGGTGAACGCGAATCATCCACACGCAGGCCAACGAAGAGGAGGAGGGATCGGGCTACGTAGAGAGCTGAGCATGGAGTCAAACACAACCGTGGTACCAACTCAGTTGCAGAAAGGAGAACAACAACGACGACGACAACATCAGCATCAGGCTTACACCGGTCCAGCACCAGCCATCTCTGCCTCGAGCGGGTTTGCTTGGACGACAAGAAAGCGAAGAGACGACCTCTTGTCAACCTTGTCTTACGACACCAACGGGAGCCAGGTTAGTGGCCTGGATGCCCCATTCAAGTTCCCCAACTTGAATGCAGAACGTAGAGCAAGGGATGTCGACAGACAAGATTGTCACAACAAGAAGCAACACACGATATCACAGCAGCAGCAGAACCAATTTGATGCACCACCACCGGATTCGCTCAAAGCGTTTCTGTCATATGTGATTGCAGAAGACATTCCTCTAAGCCACGCCAGAGTACGTTGAGCGAGCTTGATTCTCTAACATTGATGTGGAACACATTATGGTTATGTGATGTTGAAGTTAGAAATGACTTTGGTTATATGTTCTTGACTGATATAGCATGATCCCATTCATCAATCGGACACGGTACAGTTCTCGGGACCATTGTTTTCTCAATCAAACAAAGTCGCGTAGTCGAACCAGATTGGAGAGCTGTTACGGAAGAACGAGAATCAAATACGCAGAGCAGCTCGAAGGTCGAGGTTGGATAGAGGTAAATAGTCGAATCAAATACGCAGAGCAGCTCGAAGGTCGAGGTTGGATAGAGGTAAATAGTCGAATGGTATACATACAGATTCTTGGCATAGATGAACATATAAGGTCGCAGAGTAAATGGAAATGGTGGATTTTGCAGAAATGTGATGCAGAGGAAAGGGACCCAGATGGAAATTTCAGAAACTTCAATGACTTTGAACACCTGGAAGCCAAAAAGAATGCTCTGCTTTTGCTTGGGGTTGAAGCAAGAGCTTGATAGTCCCCATTTGTAGGAGGAAACTTCATTTGTGTATCTGGGCCTGGTTTGATTATCAACTCTGAAATATTGGTTTCCCGGGACAAAGGAAAAAAATGAAATAGTAAAAGAAGGAAATTTTGTATAACTAACTACCAAGAAAAAAAATGGAGCATGAGAGGAAGCATTGCCTTCCTTATAATCCTTTTTAAGATAAGGATTCGTTCCTTAGTCAAACCTTCCCAAGTAATTGATTTTGCTAATTTTTTCTTCTTTTTCTGCCACACCATTTTTCTCCAATGGGATGTGAGTAGTAGTGATACAAGCTAGCAACAAGCTACTACTTTTGTGTAGTAGTAGAAGAAGTTGAACTTTAGAGTGGGAAAACAAAGTAAGAAAATAGTCGACCTTAGTTTTTGAATTAATATAAGGTACCAATTATTTATTTCTATGAGCTGCATTGTTTTCTTGTTCTTCTTCCATTTTCCCCTTTCTTTGGCTTTCATTTTCCCTTTTTCTGGGGAACCATTGCAACCACTTGCTAGGGTTTGGTTAGAGTAGTTTATTATAAGAAAATGAGATTGATATGTGTATTAATTCGTTATTTTTTTCACCTCATCGTCATTCACCTAGTCGAAAGCGACGAAGCAAAGTATCAAAATGCACAGTTAGTAATTACGGTTCCTTTTGGTAACTCAAGTCTAGGGCTCTATATTTACAAGGAATGTGTATTAGACTTCTTTAGTAATCTATATGGCGACTCATATCTCGTACAATGTGTAAAAATCATTTCTTCATTTCTTGTATATGAATTCCCCAAGATGATAGTTTTGAGTGATAAAGAATTATAGACTACCTAAACCATAACCTAGCTATAGGGTACACTTTCCATTAAATGCTCCAAACTTTATCATTCTCTCCAGCAAGACTTTCTCTCAGCCGCAAAAGGCGGGAAAGCTTCTTGGATCTGGTCCAATCTTTGGGAAGCAAGAAAATGGATGGAGAATGGTCTGATTAGGGTGATCGGAAATGGTCGATCAACGAGAGCTTTTCAAGATCCATGGCTGGTTGCTCGACCAGGGAATATCCTGCAGCAAAAATCCTCATTCCCGGGAACGGTGGACTGCTGGATTGATGATGTTCACAGGTCGTGGAATTTTGACTTGCTCGAGGATTTTCTCCCTCCCCAGGTTTTGAATGAGATTTCGACTACACCGATTGGACCGAAGGATATGGAAGATTTTTGGGCGTGGAGATGTACAGAAGATGGAAAATTCACGGTCAAGTCTGCTTTCCACCACTTTCATGATAAAAGCAGAAGAGGACAAGGGCCTGCACATTCTCCTTCTCCCTAACGCAAAGATGAATGGAAATGGGTCTGGAGCCTTTCACTACCCCCGAAGATGAAGTTCTTCATATGGAGATGCTGTCGATGAGCACTGGCTACCAAGGAAAATCTCTTCTCTCGCCGATGCGCTCCTTCAAAAGCCTGCCCGCTATGCTCCCCTCCTGTGGAGTCCATCCACCATTGTCTGTTCGAATGTCCTCATGCAGCGGAAGGATGGCGAGTTGAATGGCCCACTCTTCCCACTCCAACTCAGTCCACAGACATCATTGACTGGATTTCTTCGATCGGGCAAAGTTACTCAATCCCATTAGTCCAAAGAATCATTTACCTTTTGTGGCACACTTGGAAGGCAAGAAACGAGTTCCTATTCAGGAACAAACCACTGTGGCCTCCAACTACAGTAAACAATGCCCAAGTCTGCTACCATCAATGGAGTTCTTGCCCAAGAATCAAGAGCCCCCCCCCCCCTTTTTCTCAGCCTACTCCACTTCCAGAGCTCTCTTCACCACCGCCAGGTACTCATGATTTTGAGATACACTGTGACGGGTCGTTCCTACACGAATCCCAGGAGGCGGCATATGGCGTTGTTGTCACAAATAGCCATGGTCAGGTGTGCGATGGGAAGGCTGAGAAGCTTCACTGCTTTTCACCTCTTGAGGCAGAAGCTAAGGCCCTCGTGGAGGGAACTCGAATTGCGGATTCAACCGGTGGTTCGTGCCTAATCAAATCTGACTGTCTTCAGCTTGTCAAAGCAGTCAAAGGCCCGGCAGTGGACTGGCCATGGAGGGCTGTTGTGTGGATCGGAAGGATTAAACAAATGGGGGAGTCTTGCCCCGGGATCCGCTTCGAGTTTTTCAGTAGAAAGCACAACACAAAAGCTAATTGGGTGGCACGGTCATGTGTTAAGAACCAATTGCCCCCTCAATGGATTAATATTTTAGATGTTATTGCTCCGCTCCTATAATCCTTTTGGCTTCTGCCACAATATATGAAAAGTGTGTCTTACAGTAAAAAAAAAGAAGTACCTTTTCACTCCTTTCTTGTATTTTAATCTAATCCAACTGGGTTTCCTAATCACACTAGGATTTCAATGAAATTAACTTTTGCTAGTCCAACTATAAAACCATATCTTATCAGTATGCCTACTGAAATTCTAATCACATTGAATACTAATCCTACTAAATCAGGTTAGGTTCCTTGCTAAGGAAACATTTTACTTTAAATTATAACTTGTAGAATATTAGGAATCATAATCACACAAGGATTCCTAAATTGAACATCAAGTGGCCTCTAGCATTTGTACATTTCTCAAACAAAGTTACTTAGTGGGCCCACTATATTTTATCACATTGTCAAAAGGTCATTAATATCTTCTCTGTATCGTTCCAATTTTATCGAATATATTTTATCACTTTGCCAAAAGGTCATTAATATCTTCTTTGTATCCTTCCAATTTTATCGAATGTCCTTGAAGGGACCCAAAATGTCATTAATATGAAGTGGCCTCTAGCATAACCTTTTTCTTACAACAAATGAATTCCATTCATTTCAAGGAGTGGAGTACAAACCTAACAAAATTACAACGATGGATGAACAATATTAAGCACTATGATCCAATATTGAGAGAGATCCGTTTGTCACTTCCTTAGCAACCCAAGTTGCTCTCTTGTTAGCCATACTTGGAATATAATCGATTTGTAACCCATCATTCGATTGGAGAATCTATCTCATTCATTGAATTCATGATCTCACTTTCCAGGGTCCAACCTTATTTGGATTCTGGATGACATCAACAAACACTTGACAGTACGATAAAGAGAGGTTTAGTATTCGACCACCTATATTGTTGTAATTAGCAATACATGGGAGTCTCTACATCTCAAATATCATAATTGAGCACGAACAGTGGAACATGTAATACTTGTCTGATTTCAATCTACTATATTGACCTTGACTAAGGTATCAAAATGTCATTGATATTATATATCAACTCATTTGAGTGTGCATTGTACAGCGACGGATCCAGGACATAAGAGAGCACTGGGCCGCATTTGAATAGAATATTAGATATCATAAACAAAAATATATAATAATATAGTTTTCATTACAATGCCAATTGTATAAGGTCTTTTAATTTAGCAAATTCATCAATAATATAATCTCCATCCATACTGATAATATACTATTTTTCAAAGAAAATAGCTAAGTAATCAACGATAAATTCGTCGCTCATTTTCTTGCACAAATCAATGTTCATGTTCCATTACTGAAAATATTCTCTCCATGGTAGTTGTTGAAACGGCTAGGTCAACACTAGACAAATCAACCGACAAATCAATTTGTATTGTGTGTCTATCCTTGTTTCCTCCAGCTTCTCTAATAATTTTGCAAGAGAAGAAACTTCATCTTCCTCACATGAGTAGCGCATTCTCCAAAAAAATGCATCTCATAGCCTTCAAAGTCTCGAGGCTAAACAAATGAGCAAGTTTGTAAATATTTTCTTCATCAAAACACCAGAAAGAACTGTTAGAATTTAGTGCCCCACTCAATTGAGATAATCTAAATGATAACTCAGCAAGTTTGTAAATATTTTCTTAATCAAAAGAATGGAAAGAAAACCAGCTCGACGGGCTGGCGGAGAAATCCATTTTGGGTCTGCTCGTCTCCTCGTTATTGTTTTGTTTTGGGGGAATTGAGAAATTTTTTGAATTTTGCAAGGAAGGGTGTGCTTTAGTTTAGAGTTTTTTTTTTTATTTTAATGAAATTTTACACTTTTAGGTTTTCATGTCTTTTTTCAAATAAAATCGTTGGGGCTATAGTAAATTTAGTATAAATTTAGAGTAATGTTTTGAATATGTTCATCTGAACCATTTTCCTAGTTACACAAAATCCTATTATTAAATAAAACTAGACAGGATTCTAAATAGCACTGAGCCAAATACCTAAATCAAAAAAATTTATAAGCACTAAACTAACTCTGGATCCGGAGAAGGGCTGGGCCGGGGCCTGGGTTAGCCCAGCCCTGGATCCGCCACTGGCATTGTATTGACAAACTTATCAAGAGACTCAATGGAATCACTTATTCACTTCTAGGAGTGATGAATCCTTTCACCTGTTACAAGATCTTTAAATGGTTCACGATATACTCAGGTCAAATGTGATTTCGACCAAGAAAAAGATGTGTATTTTTTAAATATAAAAAAATCTTGTTTTTCCTTTTTTTTACCAAAATTGCGGCGAGTAGAGGAAATTTTCTAGGGTTATCAATTATTTTGAGAAGGGAAAATTGTTTTAATGCTGGAAAAATTAGGAGTTGAAATCCAGGAGACCTCTTTCTAAGCCTGATAAATTGGAAGTCCCTGAAATGTCAAAGGGAGGACAAAACGATTGGTTAATCTCAATAATTCATTTTTCCTTTTCATATCATCCAGACTCTCTTCTACCTTTCAGGCAACCCACCACCCGACAAACATCTCCTAGTTCTTGCGTAAAAAAACCCTGAAACAGGGAAATCCTGTTTAGAAAGCATCTTTTGAATTACTATATTCTTTGTTCGAAGATATATGTCTCTCTGGAATGGTGGCATACAAAACGATGTGGAGATGGAACTGTTGGTTGATCGTAATCATGTTAATATTCGAATCGGGTTCAAAGATGGCAGAATCAATGCGGTTCGACATGCACTCCGGGGAGACAAAATGCATATCTGAGGACGTCAAGGCCGACACCATGTCCGTGGGATCTTACAGCATTGTTGACCCTATCAAAGGTGATCCCAACGTCACTGTCAGGGTAACTTTTCTTTTACATTCTTCCCTATGCATTATATACATTTCGTGTTTGTATAACTACGCTATTAATGCCTGTCATTCATAAACATTGTTTGATACCATGTCGAGAACTGCTTTCGTTTTGAGAACGGTAAATTTTTAAGAGAGGGTCAAGTATGAACGTTTGTATCTACTGTTTTTTGGGTTGCAGGTGACATCACCCCATGGGGTAAGTTACCATTACGGGGATAAGGTGGAGAAGGGTACTTTTGCTTTCACAGCATCAGAAAATGGACCCTACTCTGCTTGCTTTTGGTCACCTATGCACAAGCCGCCACTCACCACCATCGTTGAATTCGATTGGAGATCCGGCGTGGAAGCTAGAGATTGGTCTAATGTCGCCAAGAAAGGCAACATCGAAGTAATTGTTACTCCACCTCAATTCCTATATGTGACCTGAATTTGGACATGATTGCATTGTTGTTGTTGCTGCTTTGTTAATGAATGAATGAATGAATGAATGAACTCTGTCCTGGTGTCTTGTCTTGGCGTGGTAGGCTATGGAGATTGAGTTAAGGAAGCTGGCGGTTACAGTAAGAAACATCCATGCAGAAATGTACTACCTCCGCGATAGAGAAGAGGAAATGCAAGAACTGAACAGGTCGACCAACTCGGAAATGGCAATCATGGGTTTCCTTTCTCTAGTGGTCTGTATATCTGTGGCCGGTCTGCAGTCGTGGCATCTCAGGAATTACTTTGAGAGGAAGAAGCTTCTCTAGGGTTTGTATATAGCTTTCCCCATGTATTATTGCAGCATTGCAGGAAGCTAGCTAGCTGCACATAGTCCCAAGTTACTGTTACATATTGTTTGACCACCGTCCATAAACTCTTTTTTGGCATATTTACAGTTTGAGTGCAATTCAAAGCCTTCCCCCTTTGGCCTCTTGAAGGCACATTGTGAAGTGAGGTTTGGTGGTGCAGAGGCAGAGGCAGAGGGGACTCTGCCCCTTAGCCGAATTGATTTGAGTGATAGATGGGATGGGGATTAGTTATCACTGTTTTTGCTTGTAAAGTTTTTCTTCTAATCATCTTAATTTGTTGAGGATGTGTACTGTATAGGTAGCTGTACATTTGTCCTAATACTTATGCAGCAAATGATCATGTACCATATAAACCAGTACATATCTCTAATGAGAATTACTCGGTGGAAATTTTGATATGTCAAGTTGGGATTATAAGTTTGTTTCATCCATTTGATAACAACTTTTGATGGACATATTGAAATGGAGGCAAAGTGACAAGGTCGTGGAAGAAAGAAACTGTAGGTTCCATTGTTATTGAGTGGAAGGTATACCGTCCATAAGAACATAGCGTGTGCAGGAAAGAGTATACAGAAGAGCTAAAGATTCTATAACTCTAAGCCCCTCATATCCAATCGATGAGTCATCGCCCGGTTAACCCGCCAATGGGTTGACGGTTGGCTTCCATTTGATCATGGAAGTGATGGTAGATTGCTGCTCCGGAAAGCACCGACAATGTTATGGCCTGTGCGTGCATCCTGCAGCAGTAGTAAATACATGAATTCACCACTTCAAACAACAATTTCGAGTAATTAATTACCGAATCAAGGGATATAGTAAAATGCATGAATCAACAAGGATGGATGACCAAGCTAAGCTCACCGGGCGTGGATGAGCCTAAGACTGGGCTTGAGAGCCGGAGTTGAAGACCGATTGTTGGCAGCGAATGACCCTCCAACTGCCGCTGCCCAGATTCCTCCTGCATATCCACAGTACAGTTTTTGAGATATAATGTATAAATAAAGATGATAGCTGTCCGAGGAGTAGCATTGCGTATACAAATACTTTTACCGATGGTGCCGAGCTTGTGCTTGGAAACCCAGGCCTGAACTCCTTCCATGGATCCTGATTAAAAATACTCTGCTAACTTAATCTCTCTTCCTTTCCTTCTTCCTTCCCTATTGTAGCTTCTGGGCTTTTTCTCGAGAAAACAGAAGACGGGTTAATGAGGTAGTAGTTGGCGAAGAAGATGATGGAATTAGGGAGGGGTGGCTTTCCCTTTATATAGGTGTGGAGGGAAATGGTGGTTTCCTCTGCTCTGCTCTGCTCTGCTTTTCCGCCCCCTGCTTCTTTGTGGTTTGGTGGTAAAGTGGCAAAACAACCCTTAAACAGGCGGCTACGCTGCCCCATACTCTCTCTCTCTCTCTCTGCTCTGCTCTCCGTACTATTCTCTTCTTTCTTCGTTGAGATTCGTTGTATTGGGCTTTTGGGGCTTCGCCCAAACTTGACCTGGAAGCCCACAAACCCACAGGATTGCGGTTTTCCTAACCTGGGAGCTGCAGACAGCAGCATCTCACATTCCCCCATCCTCCTATTTTTTTTAGTTTCTTACCCTTTGATGCGTACAATCTTTTTTAGTTTGTTTCGGCTAAATTACATATTTGCTCACTCGTTTAACTAAGTTTTTGTTTATCATTCAAAAAATATTTCTTTCTTACTAGTCATTAATTTTAAAAAAATTTCCCTTGATCACTCACCAACCGATTCTGTTAATTTCATCTAACCTCGCAGTCAACAACAATCTTTACTTGTTAAATAACTGTTGTATCATTAAAAAAAAATGTATTTGTTATTTATTTTCTATCTTAATCCCTCTTCCTCATCTCTCCTCCACCAGTTGCCGCCGCCGCCGCCACAATTGACGTTCTAATTGGTTCCCGTACTAAAATTCAGTATGAACATAAACAAGTTTTAATAGTGGGTCATACATGATTTAAACTGAAATTCACCACAAGATCCTCTCATACTGAGTTTGTGAATTGTGAGTGACTACAAAAACCACCTACCACACTCACACATCAACTAAGCAACAACAGTGATGCTGGTTATGATGGCTTGTTTGGATGGTAGCATAAGAACTGAACCACAATGGTCCGAAGTCCGAACTCTTCACCCAGGCTGGCTTCTCGAACTACACATAACTCCAGTTTGTGGCCTGCGCTTTCTCATTCAACTCGACATACGATCCTTGGTAGAGCGAGCTCCACCAAAGTTAAATGAATAATGTTTGTTTTGATTGTCCATGCAATCTTCTGTAACAAGTTTGTCTACTACATTAGTACTTAAAACGTGGAGCAATGCACCTATCACACATCCACAAGAGAAATGAGTCACAGCAATGAATAAGGGGACTTGATGATTTCGTGACCTACACGCCATCAAATATCCACCCTAATTACCCATCAAAAATCAGTTGGAAGGAAACAGAGAATAGATGCAGGAAAACGCCAAATTCCAAGATGTTGAAAGTGTTCACAGGTTTCACGGAAATGACAGTTTGTTTCCATCAAGCAACTACCAACGGCAGAAGAAACAAAGTGCGACAATTAGAGGATAATGAAACATGGATCCACACATGGCAACAAGGGCGCCGGAAATGAATACAGCAGAAGAACAGGAATAGGAAAGTACTGTGAGGCCCTTTCAGATATTCCTAAAAGCTTCAACACCAACACAGTTGAAGTCGTTCTGGATGAACAACCATGTCATCGCGATCATATGGCTGCCAGGGCTTGAAGTACGTCGTCCTTAAGATCGTCGAAGTCCTCGACTCCAAAGCTGAACCTCACCAAGTTGTCTCTAATCCCATACTTCTCCCTCTCCGCCCGAGGAAGATCCCTGCATTTCTCACCAAAAAAGGTATTAATTAAATCTTCTACCTATATAAAGTTAAGAAAGCATTTGAACATGAGATTAACAACTTAATGACAGTCACAACCTTCTCTAAAAATGTCTGGGAATAAGAGAGGCACGCGACTAGGCTAAATAGTGAAGAACACAGCAAATCAGAGGATCTTTTATGGGCAAGAGTAAAGAGTTCTTCATCAAACAAAAAGACTTGCACAGTATATCTGCAATTGGATGAGGGTTCTGTACTTAACACAAACTACTAGACCATATTGTCCAGGACGCATAATCCTTGATCCAGTAGTACTACTGGAGAAATCCATTCGTTGAAGATGAACAAAAGTGAACAGAATATCTTGACTTGAGTAGTTTGCCATGGCTAACTAGTAACATTCTAGGCATTGATACAACTCAGTTTCATATTTCCTCTAGGACATATACTTCTATGTTCCTTATTTCAGCCATAATTATAAGATTGAACTCATGTTCGAGGGTTCAACCGTATAGAAATTATAATTACTCGAGAGGTAGCATCGATCAGGAACTACCTTTTGCTGGAAATCTTTCAACATATATGATGAATTGGACAAAATAACAAAGCAAGCAGTTTGAGCTTTAAAGTAAGGAAGAGCCATCTATTTCATAGGGTTTCTAGGCCAACAAAATAAGCCACTCAAAGAAAGGGAGCAATAAAGGAAATCATTCCTGGTGTACATACAGCCAACACATCCTACTCTCATGCCCATATTATCAAATTCAGAGCAACAAAGCACAGACACAAAGAGAACATCATGGAAAGCTACAAAATGAAATTGCATTTGTTCACGTACCAGTAAGACATTATAGCAGGCTGATCAACAATGCTCTCACATCCTCCAAAAGATGGGGCAATGTACGGAATTCTCAATGCGTCCACAAACTTTATGGTAGTTTCCAAGTCTCCATCAACCTAGCAACATCAAGGCAATAATAAAGATGATAAACATAAATAATACAGTAGAGAACAATATTGATCCATGATGTATTGGTAAGTACATAAAAGTTCCTGAAAGTTTATCATACCTCAAAACTGACAACGCCACCAAAGCCAGACATTTGCTTCTTTGCAATGTCATGCTCAGGATGACTCTTCAAACCAGGATAATAAACACGACTTATCTGTCAAATAACATTACATGAGACATGGATACATTATATTTACAGTCAAGCATTGCAAAATAAATGTCTAGTTAATACCAGTAAAATTTATACTGCGGCAAGGAATCATACAGGAAAGCCCAAAGAAGTGATGATGATGAAGCAGTGTCATACAAACCTTGGGATGTGCCTCTAAAAGTTCGGCCATCCTCAGTCCAGTAGAATTCTGTTGCTGTACACGAAGATGCAGTGTCTTCATACCTCGAATGATCAAGTAAGCAGCATTCTGAAAGGACAAAAGTTCTTGTAATTATTCATTCAGAGAAACCAATCCAGAACAGGAGAACAAAGTGACCAAATCAATTGAACTCACAGGGTTAAGAGCTCCGCCAAGAACATGGTGCAAGTTGCGAATTTCTGAAACTAATTTCAGCGAACCACTGATGCAACCAGCAAGCACCTGAAAGCAAAACACAAGTTCAAGAAATTTTAGCAAAAACACAATAGCTAGACGATCAGAAACGTTTTATTTCATGATTTAAGCGCTGCCAGAAATCTTACATCGTTATGGCCCCCAATGAACTTTGTTGCAGAATGCAAAATTAGATCAGCACCAAGGGCAAGGGCCTTTTGATTGAGAGGTGTTGCAAAGGTACCATCTATGCAGACCAATGCCCCTTTGTCATGACAAAGCTTTGAAACGAGCTCAATGTCAACACACCGCAAGAAAGGGTTGGTGGGAGACTCCGTGAAGAAAAGTGAAACCTGTATGGAAATTATATCTTCCAAAGTAAGCAATAGCATTTAGGACATTGAAGGGAAAAGGAGGAACTTTCTCAAACTCTAACTGACATTTTTCTCATTAAGAGCATTCTTCAAGGATTCTATATCTGCAGGATCGATCACTGTAGCCTGCATAATCACCAGCAATCAAATCAAATCCAAAAAACTGGAAAAAAGGCATAAACTTTATAGCAAGGAACTCATGTTTCTCTGAGCAATCAAGAACTAGAGTATTTACAGCCCAGCCAAGTATTTGCCTATATGAGCTGCAAGCAAAGTAATGAATAGTTACCGTGATTCCCATCTTAGGCAGCATAGTCTCGATGAAGATCCTGGTCTTCCTATAACAATCAGTGGTAGTCACGAGATGTCCACCAGCTGGAACCAGGGCCATTAACAGGACAGTACTAGCACACATCCCGGATGCCATGATCAAAGTTGACTCAGCTCCTTCAAGAGCACTAGATCAAGATGAAAACCAATACCGAGAAGATCAGTAAAACCCAGATTGTAAATTCAGCAGATAGAGATATAACATGCATGAGATGGAAGATAGGCTCAAACGAGAAGCTCAAGTAACCTTATCTTCTCCTCCACAACTGCTGTGGTTGGATTTCCATAACGACCATACTCAAAGCTCACATGGCGCTTCTCCTGCAAAAGAAGATCCGAATCAGCAACATAATAACACCTGGATCCTTTCTTAGGAGTCATCACATTGAAAGATCACATCCACAAAACCTTGAAATCAATAAGCTCTGCAGTTTTCTTGAAGAAGTAGGCTGAAGTATTAACCACTGGAGTTGTAATTGCATCAGTAACAATGCCGCGACCCAATCTTTCACCTGCCGAAAAAGTCCAAACAGCAAAAGCTCAGCCAAACAGATCGAGCCACAACAACACACGGGGCAAAACGGCGAAATGAGGGAACATTCAGATGCGAGGGGAACATACCAGCATGAACTGCGATGCTTCCATCGGAGCTCAAAAACGAACCATACGTTAACTTGTTAGTCAAATCCTGTACATCTCCTTTCCGATCAAGCCCATCAACCACCGGTCCATTGGCACCGGCGATCAGCTCGACCGACTCCTCGACAGCGGGGACTGCGGGAGAGGCGGCGGCGGCTGCGTTGGCAGCCGCAGCCGCGGAACCGGTGGCTGAGTTGTCAGACCACTTTGCCGCGACAATTTGCGCGACGCCGATATTGCTGCAGTTCCGGCGAGCCTTGTTGCTAAGTTGTCGGACGAAATTGGGAGGGAACTTAAGGATGAGCGAGGACGACATCCCGTATCCGCCGCCGCCACCGCCCGTGAGGAAAGATCCATGAACACCGACGGAGTTGACTCGTGAGGAGGAGGAGAATCGGCCAGGTCTCGCCTGGTGGTGGTTTCCTGAAGGATCAGAGCGGCAGTCGAAGGAAGACGCAAAGCCGCCTGCGGCGGATGCGGAAATCTTAGAGCAGAGGGTGCTAGGCACAGCCATATCGGTGACGACGGAGAGACGGTGGCCGGAGGAAATGGGAGGAAAACAACAACAATCGGACGCGAAAAAAGAGAGGCGCAGAAAGGAAAGGGTTTGGTAGGAGGGGAGAGAGAGATAACAAGCGGCTCTACGAGGATTTGAAGAAGTAGTCGAAATTACATTAAATTTTTTTTGAAAATAAATGGGCTTTTTGGATGGGAATTTGTCGCTTTCTGTTATAATTGGTGATTATCGTCTAATTTGGCCTATTGAAAATTTAGAAAATGGATAATTATCATCAGCATTTTGGGGTTAGGTTGTTTACATTTGAAGAAAGAGAACACCTAAGGGGTCGTTTGCTTCAAGGATTTGCATCATGGATTTGGTACTAAAAAACTATCTATCAAGGATTTACATACAATCCTTTGTTTGCTTGGTTAAAAAATGTTGAAACAAATCCGTGGGCCCCACAGATTTAGGTTTTTTTTCCCTCTAAATCCGTGGGGCCCACAGCTTTACAAATCCCACATGATTATTAGGGAATTGGTGATGTGCTGAAAAACCGAGAGGCCAACTGACACTCCTATCCTCATTCTTTTTCATTAAACCAAAATTGCCCTCTTTATCCCCACCATATCTGTCGCTTCTACTTCCCATTCTCATTCTTTACACACCAAACCAAGGAAGCTGCGAAGAGTTCTTCGGTTCCTTTCCTGGAAAATTGCAGCCCCCACCAACAAAGGAATTCTTCGGCCGACGTTGAGTCCGCGTGCAGCCGGCATCAATCTCCGACGCTGAACCCAAAACCCAGGTAAGCAGGACACTCCCTTCTTTGCGTTGAATCCATTTTCTTTGATGAGCTTTTGCAAATCATAGGAATCATATACATACAATTAACTGCTCACAATTTCTTCTCTGAGACAAACAACAAATATGCCTCTCTCTACAAATAATGATTGTTATGAGCAGTACTTTTCCAAGGGCGAGCAATTGAAATGCAAGAATCTTTTGTGAAGAAGCAACCAAACCAATTGGCAATTTTTGGTTCTCTACAGCAAAATGATCATTGATTTCTTCGTTGTAGATATCCATGTAGGAAACAATTGTGAAAGCCACTTTAAGTTAAGAAAGCTACTTATATCATGGATCTTTCTACAAATGTGTTCATGTCATTAACAGTATGTACTCCATTGTCCGATTTGCAGCCATGAGTGTGGTTTGCCTATATGCCTTTTGTTCTTGGACTTTACTGTGTTCCATTATATGACACCTTAGGTATGGGCTTTTGTCTGTTAATAACAGAGCAATGATCATGATCGAATCAGTATACTTTATGCATGATTATGGCATTATATTTGTTTGTTCCTGGATTTTAGTAGTTAATGCAGGGATTGGTTCGTTGAAAAAGGGCAATAAGGTAAATGTAGATTTTTATTTCTAAATCCCAAACCATTAAATCCATGATCAAAATGAGGAAACAAACAAAGGAGTTTTTCAAATCCATAATGCCCCAAATCCCAAATAAAACCTTAGGTTTTTAAATCCCACATTTAAGTAAAAACCCTCATTTTACAATCCTTGAAGCAAACGACCCCTTTTAAAGTATCCACCACAATGCATTTTTCAATATGATCTAAATACAACCGTCAAGTTACGTAATAGAAAAGTTAAATAATCAACTATAAAATTCGCCTTTGTATAAACATGCTCTATTTTAAGTTACTAATCTTAAATCACGAGCCATCGAATTTTAAATTAGAAGTCATTGAATTTCTGCGACTAATGAAACAGAGAATGATATGTTGTAACATGCTTAATATACATGTGTTTGCTATGAGTGAGTGAGCATGGATAAGGACTTCCGTAAGGGGTCAAGTTTCAGGGTGCGCACTTGGTTCGATAAATATGAACTGAACCGAAATTGAATTAAACCGAACTGAAACCAAAATAATGCTATTTGGTTCGGACTTGGAAGGGAAATATGAATATTTCGGAAACCAACATTCTTTCAACGAACCGAATTTTTGAATTTTCGACCAAAAAACCATATTACTATAATTGCAAGCTCCAAATGGTGGGTTTTTATGTTTGCAGTTGTTTTGAGACTTAAATATTTAAATCATGTTAGTGTTTTATGACTTATGTGTTGAAATGTTTGATTTTATCATTGATGATGCATATAATTACATATTTATGTTTACATTAGAAGTGAAAAATAATTTAAAAAGAAAAGATACAATTAGCCTAACAAATTCGATTTAGTGTATATATATATATTTTTTTTATAATGATGATGAACTTTATTAAATGAAAACAAAAAAAGTACAAGAAGAAGACCCACAAGCAGTAGGCCAAGAAAGAACAGTAAGGCAGCAACAACAAATGCCGCAAAACTGACAAAGAACCAAAGAAGATCTAAGAAGAGAAAAGAAGCGTGAAGAAGCCCAGAAGTCAATCACCCAACAGTGGCCCCCAAATCCGGAATCGATCCTGAATGAAGCGCGCCCCTTGTTGTTCGTCAATCTTCTTATGCGCCACCATCCAGTTGATGATGTTCCTGGTTAATTCCTGATGACAGTTAAGGGAGGGCAGCAAGATTCCTGAAAAACTCTCTAATTTCTTTCTTTCCAAACAAACCAGCAGATCGCGTGGATGGCACATGCTGCAAACCAGTCATCAACGCCTTCAATATTAGGATCATAGTGGTCAATGATGCTGGTTATGTCTCCCGAAGACAAATTCGGGCAAGTGATGTTTCTGAACACCTCATCCCACACCCGCCTAGTGTAGGGACACTCCACCATGATGTGGTTGATCGATTCTTCTTTCTTGTAGCAGAGAACACTCCGACTGGCCAGCTGCATACCTCGTTTCTTCAAATTTTGAACCAAACGAATTATAATTCGGTTTAGACCGACGAATTCGGTTCGAATTAGATTTTAGATTTAGCGGAATTCGAGGTAATTCGGTTTGGTTCGACGAATTCGGTTCGAATTAGATTTGAGATTTAGCGGAATTCGAGGATCCGGTATTCATAATTTCAGTTCGATCGAAACTGAACCGACCGAATGCCCACCCCTTAGTTAGGTTGTTGAGGTGGAATTATTGGATTTATTATTCCTACCAACTATTTTGAAATTATGCTAAATGGCTATCAATGAAATTATTAAGGGGGGGGGGGGGGGGGGGGGGGGGGGGGGGGGGGGGGAATATATATATGTTGTCAATTTGTGCCGAAAGAAGTGATTTAATAGATTCCCCTCCAAGTGGCCAACTTGTTCTTCAGCTGCCCACAGGCCACAAGTGTTTTGCATACTTACTCGATCATGCACACTAGAGAGTACTTCCATGAGTCCACGTCCACTCAAGTGTGAATGACTCAACTTCCACTTCAATTTCTTGCCTAAAATCTAATCCAGATGATTATGATGTGCAAAATATATGGCTCTTCAGCATTTTGATAATCTGTCACTTATTAGAGAGCCCATTTCCATTACCCTATCTACTACCAATTCGAATTTTCAATCCTTAGTTTGGCTTTATATCTAATATGTTTCTTGTCAATTTGTCGTTAATTTGATCATTGTCGTCATATTGTCTTTAAGAATAATGTTACAAGGGTGGTTTGATGGAATACCTCAGGCGTGCACGGCGACCTAGCTCATAATGGACCAAGATAGGGCTGAAAATTTGCCTGTCCCGTCTCTGTCCTTGTCTGACCCGTCCCTGAAGGGTCAAGATGTATAATCGTCCCGTCCCGTCCCTGTCTCCTTCTTGAGACTGTCTGACCCTCAAGGGTTGGGACGGGACGGGCCGGGTCAGTGGGTCGACCCTAATCAACACACTACTTTTCTACAAATTACGTTTTGGTACCCAAAATTATTTTTTCTTACAATTTAGTACCTAAATTTTATTTTTTTACAAATAAGTCCATAAATTTTGATGGTAAAATTACGTTTTGGTACCCAAATTTTTTATTTTTACAAATTAGTACCTAAACTTTTAAAACTTTACAAAAAGGTCCAACGAAGTATGAGATATTTGTTGTTGTTAAGGGTCACAGCGGCAAAACGTGACCCGTTCTTAAGTTGTCCCGACCCGTCCCGACCCTTATAGGGTTAACAAATGGCCCGTCCCTAATCTGTCCCTGTAGACAAACTGACCCGTCCCGACCCTTAAGGACGGGACGGGTCGAAACGGGTCAGTGGGTCTTCCGGACAAGCTTTCACCCCTAGACCAAGACGTCAGTTAAATAATGCGCATGCACAAGCCACCCAACTCTTAGGGCAACCAAAACAGCAACCTAGTTTGCTACACCAACTAATGAAAGCCAGCAACACCTGAATTAACAGTAGAGATTAGAAAACTACACATGCAATGACTAGTGATGTGTGGGCTTTGAAATGTATTGGGCTTTTTGTTTTAAAATACCAGATCAAATTGTTTGGGCCAACCCATAAGCTAAGCGCACAAGTATATTAGATAGAAGCTATCAAGCTGAAAGTGGTTGAACTTGAACGTGTAGTAGGTCTGTTATATATGGGCCTAATCCTATAAAAAGCCCAGGACACAATTCAGCATATCCCGGTCGCGAGCGGTCAACAACAGTGGTGGACTGGTGGTTCGTAAAGATCTTTTTCATTCTGGATTAGGAAGAGTCGTAAAGATATAAATTATATCTAGGCACGGGAAAACTAACCAAATACCGTGACTAATGATTGACATCTAGTCACGGGAAATGATTTTGTCAAGGTAAATACAATGTTGAAAAGTGTATATCCCGTATCTAAATGAGTTTTTTGGTCGATTTTTTGTGGCAAAATTTGGTAGTAGTCACAGGGCTCCCGTGATTAATAAGTACAAATGTTCACGAGAAATTATACCGTGATTAGTTATAACTAGTCACGGTACAAGTTTTTCGTGACCTTTACAATTAGACACGGATGTATATATTGCGGTAACTTTCCCGTATCTAAAACTATTAAGCACGGGAAACGCACATTCAAATACGAGATTTCCTCCATTCCCCGCACCCTCTTCGCTCACTTCCACGGTGGACGACGACGGCCTCTGGTGTGTGGCTGGAGAAGAAGAAGATAAAGGGAAAGTAGGGTTTGACCCTTCATTTTAATTTTTTTGGTTTTTTATGTTTGAAATTATAAATAAA